GCCGCAAGGAGCTTCGAGAGAGTTCGAAGCCAACAACAAGAAGTGCACATCCGTTCGCAGACTGATGCAGCAAAGCAGCTGCATGGCTGCATGACTTGGAACACTCTACTCTAAGAACTGAGCACTCAGGATTGGTAATACGCAGCATAGTCAATGAGAGAAGCCGCCGGTGCCACGCCATCGAGTTGTCAGGGTGATCACATGATTGCAACTGTGACCGAAGCATGCATGCGACGAGCGCCCCTCACAGAAAGCTCTGTGCAGAGCAGCATGTTTCGCATGACAATCTGACATCCAAGCACTCAGCAGGGGCTCCGAGCCCGCAGATTGCTTGCGAAATCTAAATCTAAGCCTTCCACCCGCAGCCCGTTGAGCAACAAAGCGGAAGCTACAGACTATTGACTATACACTCACGAACGAAACTAGTAGTTCGATGGTTGTACACACATATTCAGTGCATACGAACGACAAGCGAAAGTGAAATTCGCGGTATGCAATGCCGCTGAACAGGGAAGAAGTGACTTCGGCTACGGATCAAGAGAAATGTAAAAGGCAGTGGATCGCCAGATATACCTTAAGGCATCCTGAAAATGACCTTCCCATGCGTCTACCGGTCTGCGAGGAACCTGATTCCTGGGACTCCTGGCGCCTACTGCGGAATGATATCAGCACGCTGAAAAAACTCCACCGGCTGCAGGCCGGTCTGTTTGTCAACTCTACGGTTTCAGGAAATCCTAAGCCAAATACATTCGTGTCGGCTCTGCTGCAGTGTCACGACGCAAACTCCAGAATTCATGGAACCACGTCAGTCTCCGGAACTAACTTGGCGCTTTTGTCAGCAATCGGCCTCGATGGCATCTTTCCGGATAGAAGGCCCGGCCAGGATCAAGGGGATCTTCACAGAGGGCTCCCAGGGACTGGACTTGGCCCACCTTCGTGAACAGCAGTTTCCGAAAGAAGCCGAAAGGCTTGCTCTTCTCGCTTCCCTCTTTCAGTTTGCTTAACGCGGCAACATTCCATTCTAGGACCTTGGAATCCTAGCTGCCATCAGAAGCAAGCCTTCGTCCAACAGGGACGGCCAAAAGACACAGGCCTTTATCACAATGTAGGGTCGTTTTGACAGCAACAAATGTGTCATGGCACTCCCCCTGCATACCATCTTTTTCGACTCTGCATGAACGGTCCAACAGCGCTGATTGACCTGGGCAGACACCAGAAGATGCAGACAACAGGAGACAAGACAAGCTGTGAGGGACACCGGCAAGTGGCGGAATTTTTTCTCCCCTGCATCGGCACTCTGTGTCTCTGGGTCCGAGATGGAGCCGACGGACATCTGAGCAAAGCAACCCTTCACACTGATATTGCAAGGTTGTGATGCTGTTAACACCACATTTGATCATGATGATTGTGCCAGGGCTGATTGCTCTTAGGAAAACCTAGTCCGAACATCCTCCTCTGACCTGAGACTGGCACTTGCACGCTACAAAAATCGAACTTGGAATCACTGCTGTGTTTACAGCTGCAGCAGTCAGTGCAAGGTGGAAACTCAAATACAAAGATCCACAACATTCTTGTGCTTGCATGATTCTCCTCTGACCTGCACTGAGTGCTCTGCAAAACTCACTAGCTGCAGTACTCAGTTGGGACGAATCTCAGGTGAAAAAATCAATGACTTCTTTTGCCTGCATGATACGCCCTTTCACCGACACTACTCCGTAGCCACAGGGCACCAACTTGTTCTGAGCTTTTTGAAAGCCCCAAGCCAGACCGATGCTGGTCAACTCCTGCATGGCTTCAGCGAGCTTGTAGTGAAGTGGCTCACATTCTGTGAGGCAGTGGTTTCCATCTGCAACCAACTGTCCTCAGAAACAAATGACAGCCAATCAACCCAATGCCGTCAAATCTGGACACAGTCGGAACTTGCAGTGCAGCCCAGATGCTTGGAACAGTATCAGCTGGGAATTCCTTATACCCATGAATTTTTCCCACTCCGCTTGTCTTCACCAGCTCCTTCATCGTGCAAACAGTCTTGGGTGTCACAGACATATCGATGACCAGGTCAGTCATCGCCACCTCATACCTCAGACATGCCTCCGGAAACTGTTCATTGTTGACACGGATCAGCTTGCCCTGTTGGTAGGAGGTCACAAGCCAGTGCTTCGGCAGCCTCCGATTCACATCGGCCATACTCCGAATTCGGATACCGAAGCCTGACTCTGAGGACGTGTCGTTTTCCAACAAAATGAAGTCGCATGGTGGATCATCGATATGCTTGACAATCGTCTCCTGCAAGTTCTCTTCGTCCTCGTCCGACCTTTTCTTGCTCGGGGCAGTGGGGGGCTCTGGCTTGCTTTCTGGAACCTCCACGGGTTCTGGCTGGTTGCCTGTTGGTCTTGCTCCAGGATTCTCCTCCTGCGGAGTTTCCTCTGTCTCCTTGGCAGCGGCTTCCGCCTCCGACCTGGTCTCCATCTTCACATCCTGCACTCCCTCGCCCTCGACTTTGGCCTTGAAGAAGGATTCCAGACGTGGTTTCCTGAGCCCAGCTACAATGAATTAACGGAATGCACCATCAGTGGATAGCGAATTGTCAAAATCTATAACATAGCCACAAAACAACGGTGCATGAGAGTGGCTTGGCACCAGTCAAATCATAGTCCAACCCATAACTGACCAGAACCTCACACTTTGCACCGATGCCGCAATTGTTGCGCGTCTTTGCCTTCAGGCTGAGGCATCCTGCAGGGCACAGCGTGTGCATTGGCCGGAAATCAGCCGACAAAATACAATGGAAGATGCAGCTAGGGCACCAGGGTTTGCTCCCTTCGTTGCATCGAGACACCACTCAGCATTCGGAGAAGATCGTGCTCCATGGTATGAGTTCACAAACCGTGCTGCTCCTAAGAGCACACAATACATCGTCTTCGGAACCTGACACTGGAGAACTCCTTGCAGGCGCATGACCTGAGCAAGGCTGGAGCAAGCTGGAAGGGAGTTTGTCTGATTCGAATTTGGCATCACTAGTTGCACACCCAGCAGCTGCATCACTCTGACCCGGATGTTCACGAAGGAATGCAAGCAAGGCCGGCCAGCCACTGAAGATGAGGCACGAAGCTTCAAGAATTGTTTCCCCTTCAGGCACAGCCTTGAATACATACACTCCTTTGCCGCGACCCTCATTGCTCTGCAAGTACAGATTGTTCTTTTCCAGTTCACGGTCCACCAGGCCGTTGAGAAACTTTGGCAAGTCAGTGGGCACTTGATCTACCTTATTGGATGGAATGAATCGAAGTACCAGCAAGAAGTATCAGAAGTTCAGGACACAGGCAGAGTCTGCTTCAACTGCCAAGCCAAGCCACACCAGAAAAAGGCACTGAGGAATCAACGGGCACCTCCAAAAACTCGATGATCTGTTGCCCCGAGATGTGTGGGCTCATCATCACTTGTACGTCCGCTTGGCCCAGAAGCCTCTTCCGTGGTCCTGTGCGTTTGTCAAGGTCCTTGTATGCCACACGGTAAAAATATTGCAGGGCAATTTCCTTTGCGTGTGCCATCGAATGGCGGCGCAAGCGGTCTGCCAGTACAAAGCAGTCCTGAGCTAAGAACTGTCTCTTTCCGAGGCTTCGTCATTCAGTTCGGGCTTAGTATTTCCACAAATGCAATCTGGAATCCGCATGAAGCAGCTTGCGCACAGCAATCCACGGAGCAGGATGCGCGGACACTGACATAACAAGAACGGTCTGACAGCCCGTGGCCTTCAGGATCTCATCCAACACTTGTTCATAGTAGCCTTAGTACTTAGACCACAAACGAGATGTTAAGATTTTGATTGTGCCTGGGACACAATGTTTTTGCCAAGCTACCGACCGGCCGGGCAAAAGGCCAGAGATCTATGAGGTAATCCCTCGGACCAGAATCATTGTCATTGCCAGTGCCGGGAAGTCCCGGCGGTGTGTCGTCTTCAAGAACCGATGTGGCTGTGGCTCCTTCATCGGCTGGCTCAACGGAGTACGGGTCGGTTTCCCGATCGTCCTCCGGGAGCTCGTGATTAGCCGGGACTGTTTTTCCTTACTGCCAGAACACCCAATGGTTGAAAATTTCACACTCAGTCAGAAGAAGACCGCCCTCTGAAAAAAAGCTTGCTCTTGGACCACTAGGGCACCTTCCGGAAGCATCTCCGACCTGTCCGTGTCATCACGAAGTGGGCAGTCACGTCGAAGGCATCGCTTGCGGATCTGTTCTGCCGGGGTGGCCCTGTGCCGCAAGATATTCACCACATATGGCATATCAGCTTGCACAGCCTGAGTGTCTTTTCCATGGAAGCAACAAAATTCACCAGGTGAACCAAAACGGAAATCCGATCAGAGTCATGCGGCAAGGGAGTGGACCACTACCATGAAGCCTGGCATCGACTTGGCAGTCTGCATCGCTGATCCCGATGTCATCTGGATCATTGATACTCGGTCCCCTCGAAAAAGAGCTGCTACTTTGGTGTGCACCGCATGAAGGAGGTCAATCCTGGACAAGGCTGAAGCTTGGGTCCCATCGGCCAACTCACTTTCTTAGAATTGGAAGCCTGGCCTCTGACCGACTATCACCACGAAGCTGTAGCGCGTCAGACCATGACCGACCACAAAGTTTCTGAATATCTCCACATAGTCCAAGCTCACTTTGGCCCTGCTCGTCTGAGCATCGATAATGCAGCACACTTTCTGAGACGAATTTGTCATCTTTTGAATGACTGCCTCCAGGAGGAGAGACTTGTCCGTTTGGATAAAGACATGGTCCAGCTCGGCATGTGACTTCTCTCGAGCTGCCTTCTGAACCGGATCTTCGGGCTCCTCCGGCAGCACCGTCATCGAGAGGTCGACCACCTCGATGCTTGTGCCACTGGCAGTGGCCGTATCGCTGAGCGTCTCAGTCTGTGTCTGACCGGTGGGTGCATCCTTTGCTTCCTCCTTCATGGTTGCTTCGGGCTTCTTGCTGACCAAGGCTGCACCAGCTTTCTGCTTCTTGAACTCGAGCCACAATTGGTTCACTTCCTGTCGAGCAGAAAGTTTATAATGACGGAGCATGTGCCCAGACTCTTCAAGCGAAACATGATGTTACGCCGAAACCCCTCGAAGCAGGTCCTGAATGCCTATGTCGCTCGATGATTTTCCATGTAGCGCAGTGCCGGACTGCTGGCAGGATTTCACCTTTTCCAATCCCTGCCGGGTTTGTAGTGTCTCGATCAAGCGGCCGAAAGCCGGTGAACCCGTCGCAACTTGGCCGAACGTGCGGATAGCATAGTTCTGCCATTGGGCCAGGTAGCCGAGCGGGGCACAGATATCCTTTTTGAATGCGGTTTCACTCCTTGGAATCAGGACATGAGCCATGAGTTGTACACGCAGCTAAGCCACAGAAACATTTGCTGTCGAGGCTCAGCCCCTTTCCACCATCCTCATGGACCTTGGATAGAGATTTTGTCAAAGGCTTAACAAGTCGAAGCTTACAGGCGGGAAGATTGAATGATGCTGGCAGTCAGAGTAGCTGAGAAATCTTTTTCCGTGTAGCATCCATGGCCTCAGACCTTCAAGTTTCTGCTGAATCCCGAGTCCAATATGAACTCACAGTTAAGACTCAGTCTTGCCCATCAATAAACGAAGTGCCCAGTCTGCAAAAGGAGCAGGGTACTCTTCGGTACCACTGGTCTTGAACTTTTTGTTTCCCTGAGGCATGGCCCCACTCAACCTGCTGTGGGCCTTACCTGTAAAACTGCACAGAACTGGTCCTCGTCGACCGGGTTTCTCCTTCTTCGGTTTACACTTGATGCACTTGGGGTTCTCTGGTTGAAAAGTCGAGTTCCACATGAATAGCCTCATGGGCTTCTTGTACAATGTCCCGAAAGCACACATTGTACAGGCAATGTCCTTTGTGCTGGTCTTTTCCATCCGCTCTGACAGTTCCGGAAGCGACCACATCCAGGAAGTTTGTGGATGTTCCAGCACCACGGGAACACGGTGTCCACAGCACACATCTATGATGGAAAGTGCAGCTCTGATGCATGTGTTGCCCATCCGCACCTTTGACCTGTCCCGATCCTGATCTTGCAATATGAGCAAAAAAAGGAGTTGGCTCAGCAAACTGAGTGACAGTGCACATGTTGTGAGTCATGCCAACTTTGCTGAGCACTAGAAGCTTTCGCCGAGCGACAGTCATATCAAGCTCCGGTAATCCCCATGGTTGCTGCTTGGAGCGAAGTGCAGCTGGAAATCCACGGCGCTGGCCACGTTTCTTCTTACCCCTCCTTGCCCGGCTGAAGGAGTTGCACGGCGGTGACAACCATACCTAACTCAAGGACTGGGCTGTTTAGAGTACTCAATGACCCATGGAACTTCCATGCAACACTCTGTGATGTGCTGCATACTTCAGCTGGGCCACAGCCAGTATGAGCCCCGCCTTGATCCACGACAAAATCTTGTCCAAAGTTGCCGGGTCTGTCACATCCTCACCCTGCTTGGAATCCAAGCCCACTGCCACAAGACCTCTGGCATGGGGCACTGGTTGCAATGAACCAGCATCGAAGTGGCAGGGAATGCAGAAACCTTACAAACCTATGACATGGGACTGCATTCATTCTTAGTCTTCATTGCTGGACAGTGGCCTACACTTCTGGCGGCCTGGACAATCATGGCTGCTCCACAAAATATCTCCAGCAAGATTCTGCCTCTCATAGAAATTCAGCACAACAGCTCATATTGCCATGTCACACACCGGCACGCAAGCATGTTTGGCCCGGCCTCCCGTCTTGAAAAGTTGCTGAACTTCTGCATCGATATCAGAAGCAGAACGTGGGTCTGGTTCCTCCCTCTGACCAGACCTTTTCTTTATTGATCGCACCCGCTGGGCCATTTTCCCAGGCTTCGGCTTGCTGCCTCCCGCTTTGGCAGTCCCGGACAACGAGGAGGCTTTTCTCTTCTTCTGCTTCGTCTTCGGAACATCTGTTGGAGCTGCAGTTGCCAGGGCTGCTGATTCCGGCTTGGAGTCTCCTACAGCACCAAAGCATAAAGGAACATAGTCATCCTCAACCTCTTCGGTGATTCTCGTCGATGCTGTGTTCGTTTTCTGAACCGGGCGGGCCGAGGAGGACCTATCAGGAGCTGCCGGCTTGCCAAAATCTAAGGCATCATCATCATCATCCACAGCAGCAGCCACAGCCGCGCTGGCTGCACCCAAATCAGGTGAGCCACCATTCTCCTCGTCGTCGATAATCAACATGGTGGAGGCTGCAACCCTACTTCTTGTATTCCTGAATTCAATGTGTTTAATTAATATGGATAGCATATTGACACCCGTTGAAAAAGAAGAATTTTATGCCTGGGGAACGGAACTCTGTCAACAAACTGCACTCTCTTGAAGTGGATTCGACTTCCACGGGTTCTGCTAGAAATGATGCTATGTCTTCGGACTGGAACTGCCAAAGAGCCAGAATGTGAGGCATCTGCAGTCTATGGCAGCAAAGACCAGTCACCAGCATGAGCTTTGCCAATGCACAGTTCTGATGAACAACATTCGGAATGTTTGAAGATGTGCCAAGATTCTTTCACTGCCATCTCCAGAGCTGTCCTGAAACAGAAGCTGAAAATCCACAGGCAAGAACAAACAGTTTCATGCCGAACTCAGAACCTCATCTGTCCTGCAGAATTCCTTCGGCAGTTTCATGTTCTTCCGCGCTCCATCTCCCATAAGGAATGGGTTATCGAATATCCATGACTGTGGTAGAACCTCATACCTGCAGCCAGCAGCACAAGTAGCCACCACACTGCCTGAACAAGAACAGCTGGGCAACGGAGTTGCCCTACCAGATTGCCTTGACAGATGAAACATGACAGGGACCTGCCTGTGCAAAGAATCCTTGATCTCTGGATCCAGGGTCTTCCATGCCCTCGTCCACTTGCCTATTCTTTGTTTTGCTCCGACCCCGAGTAGCTGGATCAGGTGCTGAGTTGCTGCTTGTAGATCTCCTCCGACCGTGCGCTTCCTGAATGCTTTTTCCGGACAGCTTGACAAACACGACCGGAAGCTTCTGAACAGCTGCTACTCCTAGATATGCCTGAGAAATAGCCAAGCTGCACTGCACGTTCAACAACAGCGATCTTCAGCACTATACTAGTGGACTTTGCCTTGTCAGCCTCTTCATCATGGGCTGCACTGAACCAACTGAAGCGGACATCAGGATGGTCTTCTTGGAAAGCAATCATATCAATAAAGATACCAGATTGCCAAGCCTTATCATCAGCACAAGTCATGAGCTGGGTCAGTTAGAGGATGCCTCAATGATGCTTTGACTGCATATGTACTTGCAAAGCCAAGATGCATCCAGCAACCTGGGGTCATAAGTGGTACTGGCAGCAACACCTTGTGCCGTCTCTTGTTGGCATCGGTCGAAGGCCTTCTTCAAGGCACTGATAAAATGGAGGCCATCGGCGATGAGGATTCGTCCCTGAAACATTAATCCAAAACGGAGATATGCTAGAATCTCACACCAAGAACTGCAGATGTCATTTGTTTACAGATGAACCATGAACCAGGATCCTGCTCAGCCAAGGCTCATCACCATCTAATGCAGGCCCTGACTGATCTGCCAGCATGAGGAGCTGTGGCTGGGACCGTGTAGAGGCTGTGATGCCATTTGTCAAGAGGTCATCAACAATCTTGTCACGACGGCGCTCCTCCAATGGCCTGCTTGCACAGATGATCTCTGCTGGACCAAGCTGGGCTACAGAAGACACACACACACAGAACATATGGCCTCCAACCTGAGCCTTCAGCCACTGAAATGTCATCCAATTTGACCTTCTTGGCCCGCTCTATGATGCAAGGAGGCTGCCCGAACGACATGTTTCAGCCCAAAGCAGGCACCCTGGAGCCTAAAATCTGTCGGGGACACAAGCACAGCATGGAGGTGCTCGGATCAGCAGGGACTGCATAGTGGCATAGTGACACAGAAGCATTTGCACGGACACTTTGAGCAGTTGGATTTACACGAGAGCCTGGCAAGCCATCCTTCCACGTCTTGCACCATAGGAGACCTGACATAATGATGAAATGACAACCGAGGGGCATTCGGCAACGTACAACTGAGAGCCTGGCACGATGAACCCCGCTATGCGATGACGGTCACTCCTCCCAGCCTAGCAGGTGACAACAGACACCTGTTCGAAGATCCGGATTTCGGAAATTTGGGTGTCATGAACAAGCGCCCGGCCAGCCACTCGAAGATGTTTCTGGACACCTGGGACGGACAAGTTATGACCACTCTGGTCAGCAGCATGCTGAGTGGCCTTGCCCAAAGAAAGAGCTGCTGCAACGACTTTGGCTTTGCATGTGGTCTGCAGCATTCACAAGTTGCAGTTGGCAAGCGCAGTTGGCAAGCCCCATTGGTTGCTGAAGCAGCTTGAAACAAAAAGACGTCACATGAGTGGCAGCTGCTGAGCACTGAGACTCCGATGCAGCATTGCTGGTTGCAAAAGCAGCTGTGACCGACCACTGTACAGTGTTCATCTCAATCATCATTCAAATGTGCTGCTTCTTGTGGTTGAGCGGAAAAGCCCTTCCACCTCGTGGGTGTCCGAAAAGTTAAGACAAAAGGACACCCTGCCATCTGCAACAGAAATATATGCCCAAACAGTAGCCAAGTAACAGTTCATCCCGTTGAGCTCTCCATTGTCGGCCTTCCTCTGACTCCAACCATTCAGCCATTTGTTTTCGGCCGGTAGATCTCAGTGGTGTTTTGGCAGCATTTCGACCTTTTCTCACGAAGGCCGGTAAAGCATCGACCTGCAATCTGCCACGTCTCTGGGTCACCACTTTCATCAAAGCCGAGCGTGTCTGTGCATCCAAGCACACTGGTCTGTGAACCGCCTCAGACCGCGCACGCTCCTCGGCCGCATGCTTCAGCAAATGCTCTAAGCCGACAGCAGTTTCTTCATCCTGCAATCGCTCCAGAGGACCCAAATAGTAGCTGCTGGCCTTGAGGTCCGACAACTCAACCCGACGATCCAAGGTTGGATTCCCTGTGACCTCCGACCCACGCTCAAATCTCTTGTGCTGAGCTCGCCTCTGAATCGTTGGATTCTTCCTGCGAAAAGCTTCTACCAGTGTGTCCACAATGGCTTCATCTCGGGCACCACCTATCGCCTGGCAGGGCAGCACATAAATTAGGGCTATCAACTACAAGAATCTCTGTGGATGCTGCATCCCATGCACCTGCCTCGATCTGGGCTACTCTGATCCGGAGTCGATCGGCTACACGGGCCGGATGGATCGAGCTGTCCCCTTTCTCGAGGCCATGTAAGAGGGAGCCGACCCTCTCACAAACACTGCTGGCTCCCTGAGCAGTGGTAGAAGCCAACAGCAAGAAAGCAGCATGCCAGCAATGAGTCCTCCGACCTGTGGCTGTCGAAGTCAATTGGTGCATTGACTTCTCCAGAAAAAAGGATGCAGCCACAGCAGCAGGCTGTAGGGACCAACTGATTTCAGAAATGAAGATGAGTTTCTGCTTGAAAGGCGCCTTTGTCATCATAGCGAAGGCCCCAGTCTCCAGTCGACCACCATGCTGCAGCAAAGCAACTGAAGCTGGTCGAACTTTGAAGCTGCTGGGTGGCTTCAACAGGAAACTTGCAATCAAAAACACCAGACATGTCAATTTGACAGCTTTGACCGACCTTCTTTCAGGTGTCACTTCCTGCAGTTTTCTGCCGAGACATGTCAGGAGGATAGCTGGCGGCTGCACTAAAGAAGCACGACACTCCACAGGTGATCGCCACTCACAGTGAGAGCGGTCCAGATGAACCTTGTTCCACAACACCTTATACTGCCGATGCATCTCTTTCTGGTCGGGCCAAACATGTTGCACGTGAAGGAAATCCTGGGATGTCGGCCACCTCACATGTGCCAGCCGTGGCTTGAAAATACCATAGACATGGTCCAGGCTCTGCAGATGCTCAGACCCGGGGCTTCTCTGCATGGACATGGCATCAAAGTTCCACACAGTTGCCAGGTTTTCGTTCAATGAGCTGATATGTCTTGGCACACCCACGTCATGCCAGTATTCCTCATAGCTTGCAATGAGCAACTGAAGGAATCCCTCCGCAGAAGCCAAGCCCTGCTGCACCATTTGCTGGGCATATGGTACAAACCGGCTGGTCGAACACTGATAGAGGTGCTTGTGGAACAGTGACAAGCCTTGGACTTCCGACCTCAGGGGCGCAAGCTTCGGGTTTCTGGACCTACCATCAATCAATCAACAGATGGGCAGGGACTTACACTATCATCTTCCAACTTCACGACCTGAATGGGGGGCGGTTGAAGGTGTCATAACGCAGGGGCACGGACACCAAGTCCTTCTGCAAGTCTTGCTGGGCTTCAGCTTTTGTCATCTTGACCTTGGCGACATACTCAGGTACCAAGACTGACACTGAACGTCCACCTTGGCTTTTTTTTCATCTGATGAACAGGTGACCAAGCCCAGTGCTACTCAAGGACCAAGTAAAGAATTACAACACCCATGCCAAGGAAAGTTTGCCAAGCCACCGACCTGCATTCGGACCCGGCTCCTCCTGTGCTTTTCCGGGGATGTTCGCCATGGACATGTGCATCGGGGTGTCACGCACATTGTGTCTTGACTAATGTCAACATTCACCTGAAGTTGTACATCAGCAAAAACACGCAGAATGGATATGTTGAATAGCTCCCGCGAAAATGTGGGGAAGCGACGCCCAGGTCGTGTATATAAGAAAGCCACACAGAGGCTCTTGAGGTCGGCATGTGTACAGTAGTGTTGTAGCAAGCAGATGACGGTGGCTCGTACCCTCAGCTTGTGAAGGTCTTCCAGGTCTGCTTTTGCCTGGGCCTGCTTCTGCTGCCAGGATTTCTGGGCAGCCCACGGGACGTCTGCTGTATGCTGGAGGCTCAGCACGAAGATCCGCTGGGACACCATGAGGTCCTGCCGGGATGATGTGGGCATGGTTCTCGGAGATGTGGGGAATTGAACTAGTAAAGCTCATCTGGATATTTGCCGGCTTCACGTAAGGCAAGATAAGATGCCCTGATAGAAGACCATCCAAATCAACGCCGATTGGGGCATCACTTCAAAACTCTTATCACCACCAACCAAACCTGCCCCTGGAAGCCCTTTACACATGCAGAACAGGTGGTCCTGGAAGCAACACAAGAAGGTCACAAAGTCTATCGAGAGGAGCCTCCGACCCATTGTGGCCAGCTTGGTCTGACTCGTGGCTCCATGACCTTCTCTTTTGCGAAAGATCTTTGCATGTATGGCTAAGCCATACATTTTATAGTTCTTGAGCAGGTTGCCTCCGACCCGGATCAAAGACTCTCCTTGCCTGGTTCCACCACAGTCTGCCGCTGCAGATGAAGTGGATGCAGAGAAATCGGCCACCGACCGAAGAAGGACTCTGCCAGTTCCATGGCCGAACTGTTGAGCCATTCCTCGCGCCAGTGCATACAGTTCCTGTGCTGGGTCCGAAGCACCGATACTATGCCGAAAGGCTGCCTCTGACCTGGGAGATTCCAAAAGTGAGGGGTACCTGATTTTGGGGTCCTTATAACAAGGGTCCTGCTATTTAGGGTACTATAATTAGGGTCCCTATTTTCGGAAACTCTCACCTATGAAAGAACTCCCATTGGACCAGATGGTGTTGTCCAGGATAAAATCGCTCAGACAAGATGTTCGCGGAGCCGGTCGAAGAGTGTCGTGCCTCCGACCCACCTTTGGCTATGGCACCATCCCCACAGATCATTGAAAGCAGGCGGCCTCTGATGTTGCCTGCACCCAGCTTCCAAGGGTGCTGCTCCAATGCCCTTGCAACACAGTCGGCCTGTCGTTCACCAGTCTTGTCCATTCCTTCAGAAGGACAACCAATGAAGAATGCCTGCATCTGACCAGTGGTGACACTTGCACTGAAGACAAACACTATCTCAAAGCTCTCTTGGCGGGAGAAGAGGCTGTCACCAATGGAAACCCCATCATAACAGATGGAGATGGGAGCCTGAACATTCAGGCCGGGAAGCACATCCTGCAATTGCTGACTATCTTGCAGCTGCAAGAGTCGGCCACAAGCCATCTCCACCAGCTGCAGATACTGCCTGGAGGCATATTTGTCACCCACATCTACCTGATAAAGGCGCAGCTTTGCCAGGCTCTGCAAAAAGAAGTCTGTGGACTCTCCATGCGAAATACAGAAAAGCGCTTCCCGTATCAGAACACGGGTGATTGAAGAAGCATTGCGCTTGCTTTTGCGCGCTGTTGAAGCAAACTCTTCTTCCTCCGACCCATTTGTGTTTTGCATAGAGTTTCTGCATTGTTCTTGTGGTGTCCAGGCCGCTTGTTTCAGACGGCTCACAATGCTTCTCACCTTGGCTGAGTTCTAGCCCCAAAACAGAACTGAAACTCTTGGCTTCCATATGATAGCACATCTACTACAAATCCTATAAAGTCTGAAAAATCAACAAGTAGGACACTAAGTCACTGTTGCAGCATTGACACACAGAAGATGGCTAGCCGCCCGAGCCACCAGAGGACGGACACCTTGCTCACGGTTTCCCAATCTCTGACAAAACTGTGTCAACAGCTCTGCCGGGAGCTTCCCGAGATTGAGGTACGTGTTCGCCAATAAAACTTGTGCCTGAACTCCCAGGCCTGCCATCACAAACTATGGACTGGACAAAAACTGATATCTTATGTTTAAAGCAATTTGTGTAATTGGCTCTGCCTTGCAATCTGGAGATGAAGCCACCGACGTCCTGACCAGGGTTCCAGCCACTGCAGCTTGCAGCATCATCCTCTGACCCAAGCTCCAGCACTGCATGGTCTGCCACTGGTCTGGCAGGCACGGTGTCGCTGATTTGAAAGCCTGGTAGCTCATGGCCCAAAGCAGCAAAATCCAGCTCTTCCTCATAATCATCCTGGATGGAGAAACCTTCATGACTGTGGTTCTACTGATTTCCGACGTTGGTGTTCCCTGAACCCTGAAATAAACCAGTTTGCAGCAAATCGCTGAATTGAAAGGTTCAGCCAGCTGCAACCCGTGATTTAAGCGAAACATGTCTAAGACTACAACACAATTAGATCATGTTCGACTGAATCCCGAGGTTACCGTCCCCTGAACCTCGAAATAAAGCAGTTTGCCACAAACCGCTTAATTCAGAGGTTCAGATGCCAGCTACCTTTCAATTGACTGAATCCCGATATAAGGGCAGGGAAGGCACTTAGTTTGGAGATTCAGTTGGCAGCTAGTCCTGAGTGAACCCTGAAACCCTGGAGCTGTTTGGGTCAAACCGATGGGCTTGGAGTGATTGAATTGGCAGCAATGATTTTCGTCATGAGGTGCCTCCAGCTTTTGTGCCCGAAGCATCCATGGCGACAGGTTTTGCCCAACCCATACAAATGGCCAGTGGCCAAACTAATAAGTGGCAGGTAGTAAGTTTGAACCTAAGTCTCTCAAGGTGGCCAATGTCCTTGAAGCCGGGGCTGTGCTGCAAGCTTCCGGTAAGATGCAGCGGCACAAATTTTGGTGACATGCTCTGCTTGCACCGACCTCACTCATGTGCAAGGAGCTCCAAAGCCGAGGCCACGGCTTCCTGGCCAAGCCATGAAGCAGTCTATGACATGGTGCCTGTCCGTGCCAAAGATTGCATTCATGAAGCCAAAGAAGCGTTGAACAACAAGGATGATGATCGACTCTGCCTCCATCACGGGCTGCTGGAAGGCCTGCCTAAGTAAACAAGATACTTGTGTTCCTGATTTGCCAAACCTGCCTCGAGGTTTGCACGGATCCCAAACAAAGCAAAACAAGCCAAAATGTGCTTTTGGAGCCTCCAAAAGCACGATTTGGTAGGTTTCAAGCACCAAACTAGCAGAAAACTGCTTTCTTTTGTTTGTTTCTGATTTGCTAAACCCTAAACTCTCTGAACCTGACATTAAATGATTCTGATGGTTCCAAAACCTGCCCAAAAGGTTTGTGCTCATCCCAAATAGGAGCAGAACAAGCCAAAACATGCTTTTGAAAGCTCCAAAAGCACGATTTGGTCGGTTTCAAGCACCAAACTAGCAGAAAACTGCTTTCTTTTGTTTGTTTCTGATGTGCTAAACCCTAAACTCTCTGAACCTGACATTAAATGATTCTGACGGTTGCAAGACCTGCCCAAAAGGTTTCCGCTCATCCCAAATAGGAGCAGAACAAGCCAAAACGTGCTTTTGAAGGCTCCAAAAGCACGATTTGGTCGGTTTCAAGCACCAAACTAAGGAGAAAACTGCTTTCTGTGCTTGTTTCTTATTTGCCAAACTCTAAACCCTAAGCATGAAATTAAACGATTCTGGTGGTTGCAAAACCTGCCCAGGAGGTTTGCACTGTCCCAAAATAAAGCAGAACAAGCCAAAATGTGCTTTTGGAGGCTTCAAAAGCACGATTTGGTCGGTTTCAAGCACCAAACTAGCAGAAAACTGCTTTCTTTTGTTTGTTTCTGATTTGCCAAACCCTAAACCCGAAGCATGAAATTAAACGATTCTGGTGGTTGCAAAACCTGCCAAGGAGGTTTGCACTGTCCCAGAATAAAACAGAACAAGCCAAAATGTGTTTTTGGAGGCTCCAAAAGCACGATTTGGTCGGTTTCAAGCACCAAACTAAGGAGAACACTGCTTTCTTTGCTTGTTTCTCATTTGCCAAACCCTAAACCCTAAGCCTGAAATTAAACGATTCTGGTGGTTGCAAAACCCTTCCAGGAGGTTTGCACTGTCACAAAATAGAGCAGAACAAGCCAAAACGTGCTTTTGGAAGCTCCAAAAGCACGATTTGGTCGGTTTCAAGCACCAAACTAAAATTAAACGATTCTGGTGGTTGCAAAACCTGCCCAAGAGGTTTGCACTGTCACAAAACAGAGCAGAACAAGCCAAAACGTGCTTTTCGAGGCTCCAAAAGCCCGATTTGGTCGGTTTCAAGCACCAAACTAAGGAGAAAACTGCTTTCTTTGCTTGTTTCTCATTCGCCAAACCCTAAACCCTAAGCCTGAAATTAAATGATTCTGGTGGTTGCAAAACCTGCCCAGGAGGTTTGCACTGTCCCAAATAGGAGCAGAACAAGCCAAAATGTGCTTTTGGAGGCGCCAAAAGCACGATTTGGTGGGTTCCAAGCACCAAACTAAACGAAAACTGCCTTCTTTGCTTGTTTCTGATTTGCCAAACCCTTAAACCCCAAGCCTGAAATTAAACGATTCTGATGGTTGCAAAACCTGTTCAGGAGGTTTGCACTGCCCCAAATAGGAGCAGAACAAGCCAAAACGTGCTTTTGGAGGCTCCAAAAGCACGATTTGGTCGGTTTCAAGCACCAAACTAAAAGAACACTGCTTTCTTTGTTTGTCTCTGATTTGCTAAACCCTAAACTCCAAACTTGAATTTAAAGGATTCTGATGGTTGCAAAACCTGTTCAGGAGGTTTACACTGATGCCAACTAGGAGCAGAAAAAGCCAAAATATGCTTCTGGAGGCCACAGGTCGACTTGGTTCCACAAAAACCGGTCCGGAATTCACACAGAAGCTTCTGCAAGCACACTGACACTTCAAGTGCTTTGAAGGAGCAAAACCACTCGGTCCCTGGCCGAAAGTGTTCTGTGAGGCACACAGCCTGGCAGCAGGGAAGGCATGACCCATGCACAGATGTAGCAGCCTAGAGCACAAATGGGACTTGCAGCAGCACTTATGCATTTTGCCTCCGACCAGCCCCAGGACTCAGGAAGCTTGTGTCACAGGCCACTGACCAAGACAGTGCCCAGACCCGTATAAACCCATCCGACACCTTTGTGTGGATTCTGCAGACCTGCCCTCCTGAGAAAAGTGTGAGGAACGATGAACTGCTTTCAGGGTTTGGCATATGTGACCTCTGGTTTTTAAGGTCCTTGACTGTTGAAGAGCAGGTCCAACAATCACCGGTTCTACCTGGACAGCAGTGCCTGCCGCAGATCTTCGGGCAAACTATTTGCAAGGGCTATCAAGGCCGGAAGTGACTTCATCCTTTTGCGGGAGCGCACGAAGTTGGTCATCAATGCCTGCAGAGCGAGCTCATGACATGTCGAGCGCTTGTCGGAGTGATGATAATTCAGACTCGGACCCCGGCCTCCGACGCGATATGAAGTTTTTCGATGGCATCGGGTGAAACTCTGACCTTGCTTCCAATCTCGTCCACCACACTCAGGACCAAACGCCGGAAGGCTGCCTTTGAACAGCATGGTCTTGTTCGCGCCTGCATCTTCTCTATGTCCCTCTCGACATTGCGTCTGTATTTTTTGCAAGGTTTCTCGCTTTTGACCATGACCTCCGACCCCTTGCCGTGGACCTTCTTCACATCGTTCTTCTTCTCAAGTTTCACGACTCCGACCTCGGTCTTAATTGTCTTCTTCTCGGTCTTGATGCGGATGTCGCTCTGCGGCTGTGACAATGGTGTCACTCTTTTCGCCCTTTGCACATGGCGGACCATTCCGACAGACCGCGGATTTGGCCTGCTAGGCAAAGGCTGTGACAATGACACTGTTTTCGCCCTTTGCACATGGCGGACCATTCCGACAGACTGTGGATTTGGCCTGCTAGATGCTCGAACCGGAATGATCACTGAACACTCACATGTGAGAGTGTGGAGACTCATAGCTGGCATGTGAGATCCAGGAGACTGATGGTAATCGTAGCCCACCACTTGCATCTCTCTTTTGCAGTAGGGGATTGATTTTGACTCATGATGCAAAAATGATGGGTCGAGCCTGCCGGCCTGGAATCCGCATGTATGACAAAGAAGTCTTAACACAATGCATACAGACATAAAGTGCTGAATGCCCTCCACATAAACAGGCCTGGCAGGTCAGATGTCAGGCAAAAAAGGACACAAGCAAACCTCCGACCAACTAGTCGGTCTGCCTGCCATCCTTGGGCTTCGACTCAGACTCACCCCTCAGCTGTTCAAGCTCTTGTTGAACAAGTGTGATCTTGCGGCGCTTCCTGAGTAGTCATTGTTGCTATGAGCTCTTCCCCAAAATTGATTCACAGCATGATTTTGCCAATCTTATGAATACGACCCAGGCACTTGCTCTCCCGTGCTCGGTCACAAAGCTCGGCAATGTCCTGCGCTTGCACCTCCGACCCGTCACCCTCGGAACCGACAAACACCAAGGACACTGCCATCGATGTTGCTGCTTGTGCCTGCATGAAGAAGTCACAAAGATGGGACACCGTACCACTGACCACAGAGTATGCCAGGAACGACTCAGACTCTGGGATTACATCATGGTGAATCTGATTTCCGACCAAGGGAGGCATCTTGACACACAACAGAGAGCAGCACCGGCCAAGAAGACCTTGAGTGAACATGCGACCTGCAGCCGCTGCATCGACCTCGGAGTTGAACAGAACGAGCGAGATATCACCCTCCTTGGCCATGAACTGCTTGGCAGACTTGGTGTTGAAGCGTAGCCATGGCAAGATATCCACAAAGCTGTTCTCGAGGTCTGCCGCTGTGGTGGGGGGCCAATGGCTTGGCTCGTTCTTCTTCAGCAGATAGTATACAAAAAGTGACTCAGGCAAAGAGGATGGAGCCTGAGTGGTCGGAGTCGATGTCAATGGAGTCACTTCCTCGGACCTCGTTGAAAGAACCAGCTGCTGTGTGACCTTCAGGCTGCTGAACATACCTGAGTCAGGACAGATTTCAATGCAAAAATTCCAAAACAGAGGAATAGTAGTACACCAAGATAACTCACTACATCTGTGGCGAGTCTCTATCTCTCACATGTAAGTGGGGAGTGTTCTCATCAGCGCTCATTGGACGGCCAAGGCTGAATCCGGCAGTGAGCTCGGCCAACAAGTGCCCGCTGGCGAATGCCGACTGGGCTCTCGGGCCCAGTCGGCACTCGATCAGAGAGATCCTCTGCCCAAGGAGTGCCATCATCCTGGCCTTCGGGATGCGCTCGATAGCCTCCCGGTCCACACCGGAAGACATCGAAACCGACAGTCCCAGTTGGCGAGCATTTGCACGAACACGAGCCTCAGCTTCTGACCAGCATGAGTCTGAGTAGCATGAGGTACACAGTGACTAAACTCAGCAGCAGCAGCAGCAGCAGCAGCAGCAGCATTAGCCTGAACAACTGACAAGAAGCAAAGTTCGCATCCATGTCGGATCGGTAAAAGGTCAAACCCTTCTTCAGAACAATTTTGTCCTCGAAGAGCAACTCAGTGCTGGGGACAACGGCAAAGAACGTCTGTGCCATGCTTTCGACCTTTTGTAATGTTCTACAGCACCTCAGACCTGCTTGAATCAAAAGCTACAGCAGCATGTATACAAGACAAGCTGAGCAAGGCAATGCATCTGACACCACATCTGCAAAGTGAGTGGCTGACTTTGCAGTGACAGGTGGGCTTGAGTACAAAGCTCGACGGCTGGACCTGCCGTCCAGACCACATTGCTCCATGGGGGACTCCTCTGACCTAGGCCAGTCAATGAAATTCAACAGACCTCCAAGGCAAAGACCCCACTGTTGAGAGCACCTGTCTTCTCGTCGACGGATGGCAATCACGGTGGAGCAGCAGCCTGCAGTACAACGCTTCCCATAGTGCTCCAGACAGGTATCAAGTCAAGCTTCCCACACCAAATACCCAGGGGCAGGGCGGTCTACTGCTATCTGCCATGTCTGACCTGGGCCGGGACAGACAGATGTCAAGCTGCCCAGCCCAAGCACACCAAATACCCGGGGGCACGGCGGTCTGCTGCCATCTGCCATGTCTGACCTGGGCCGGAGTGGAAAATCAAGATGAAGTACAGTGAAGTACAGTACTGGATGCTCATGTCCAAAACTTGCAATCAATGTGCTAGTGCTTTCCCATGATCTAATAATATGACTTTCGGTTTTTTCAGAGATGGCCACAGATGTCTGCGCTGAAATCTCAAGCCGTCCGACGAGTCCAGGCATGGCCACAAACCTGATTTTCTTGAGCATCATCATATTTCGGCTGTAGAAGTGTTCCTGCTCACACGGACAGCTTGACTTGAGAAAGAGATCTGTACAAGGATTCTTCCGACGTCTCACCGTTGCCCTCCAGGCTGTCACTTACCGGTGCTGGCGGGTGTCTTGGCACTGTCCTTAGCCACACTGGCCGGTGGCTTGCCGGTGTCCTTACCGCTGGCGGGTGTCTTGCCACTGTCCTTAGCCGGTGGCTTGCCGGTGTCCTTACCGCTGCTGGCAGCTGCTTTGCCACCGCTGGCGCTGGCAGGTGTCTTGCCACTTTCCTTACCGGTGCTGGCAGGTGTCTTGCCACTGTCCTTGCCGGCGCTGGCCTGTGTTTTGCCAGTGGCCTTACCACCGGCAATGCCCTGTGCGGCCTTACCACCGGCACTGCCCTGTGCCTTGCCAGCCTTGCTGCCGTCCTTGGTGGTCTTGCCCTTGCCCTTGGACCCGGTGCTGCCACTGCCCTGTGCCTTCTCCCAGTCACGGTGATAAGTAGCTTCATCCTGTAGCTCACGCTGGGCGGCTGTCTCCAAAATCTGCCTGGACAGATTCCTGTCCCAGCCTAAGCTTTCGCTAACTCCTTTGGCCCAGCCTTTGAAGTGTGTCTGTTTGTCCTGAGATGTCATAGTGGCAACAAATCAAGTCAAAGGTTTATTTTAAGGTTTAGTTTGTGCACAAACAGCACCGGCGATAATCTTGCAGAGGCATGTTCTTAGACTCGAATCCAGAATCGGCTTGCATTTGGACGAGCTGCGGTGTTCTCCTGGCCTTTTTTAAAGCCTTTAGAAAGGCCTTTGTCAAAGCCGGCTTGATAACCCACTTCATGTCCACGGTCCTGGGCTACATGACGACTCAAGCTTTGAGCACATAATCGGCCCCACCTGCCACATACATTTACCTCTAGCCAAGATGCCCACCCGGCTTGAAATTGCAGCGCCCCTTGTGAGACGGCCGCTGACATAAGAGCGTTTTGCTGTCGCTCATGGGCTCTCTCCTCTTCACCTTACTTCGGTGCAGACGAGCAAACACTCAAGTGCCAAGCGAATTGAACTGACCTAGATATAGTATAGACTGCCGAGATTCGCTCTTGCTCGAGACGCTCTGCCACCTTGCGTTTTCGGCGACCTTCCCTATCACCTCCTGGCATCTGGAAGGCTGCTATGGCCGCCGCACCCTCAGGCCTAAAGCCGAAAATTGAAAAGTCAGACCGAAAGGTTGCTATTGCCCTCGGACCTCGAGCCGAGAATCACAGACCACAGAAGTGCACCCCTGCTTGAGCTGCAGCCCATCACAATAAGCATGTTTCTCCGACCTACTTTGCACAAACATTGAGGCTGGAACCGAAATGAAGCCAGATCCATGTACTTAAAAATGGCCATGGCCTGGAATAGGGAGCCACACCATAACGAAGCTGAGCAAAAGCTTAACAGCCTCTGAGCTGGGAAGCCGGCACCAAGGCAAAAGACCGACCTGCACAAAACACACTGCCGCGAAGAACAACGCTTAGGAACAGTATTGCGGCCTGTCCCATCGCAGAAGAAGATCAGTGTCGATGGCTGCCTCACCCGGGCAATGGGGCAAAGCCGACATTGCACCAATAATTCTACAGAGTGCCCGGCCTTTCGGGAAACAGTAAAGGCACCAGACCTGCGAAGAGGCAGTCTAAAACATCAGCTTCTGTAAAATCATGTCATGAGCAGTGGCACACGACATGTTTTTGCAGCAATGCAGGACTGCTTGTCAATGCGAGCGGAAGCTCTGACCCGCTGACCAGAAGTGTAACTGATAGTCAGATTTAGATGCCTAAAACTCTTATGAACGAACACTCTGACCAGTATGCGGGCCAAGGCCAAAAGATTATGTGGCTGGACTCTCGATCGGTCAGCCATATTCATGTCTCCTTGAGACCTCAGACCTGAGACCTAAGCACTCAGGAGCCAGGACCTTCAGCCAAAAGGACAAGCACTTGAACTTGACAAAAGACTTGCATTCCAGAAAAGAGAAAGGCATGAACGACATACACTGCATCCATGTTGCCATGGCTAGTCAGCTTTGTCGGAGGCGGGGTCGTCAGGCTGACCCGGTTCTTTTGCAGGGCAACTTGGCTGCTCCCAAATGTCCTTCTGCCAGCTCCAGCTGGTGGAGGAGCCTGCCAGTGGGGCTGACAAAGCACTGGAGACTGGAGACTAAAGCAAACGGATAACAACATCTTGATGGACTGCTGCCTGGCTGTCGATCCCAGGCCCAGGATGCCCATGAACTCCATTGCCACCAATCCTCGTGTGAGTATTCGGTGGCCTGCCTCCAACCCTTTCCATCAGTTTCCTCCTGTTCCAACATGGTGTCCTCCTCCACTCCCTTCTGGGTCGTTTCACTCTCGTGGTCCTTCTCCACTCCCTTCTGGGTCTTTTCACTCGTGTGGTCCTCGTCCACTCCCTTGTGGGTCTTCTCACTCTTGTGGTCATTGCCAGAGGCTTGGGCTTCTGCAGAGTTCTCCATCTCCTCAGACCCCTTTGCCGAGTCGTTGCCCTGCTTCTGGTCCTCGTCACCATAGTATTTTTTGAATGTGGCTAGCATGTTTTCTGTGCTCGCCCTGGACTCCTGTACCAAATTTTTCCACTCCTTCACAAGCTTGCTCTTCTCCTCTTCGTTCATGTGCTGCTTCTCTTCTTCGTTATTCTCGTGCGGCTTCTCCTCCTCGTTCTTGGGCTGCTTGTCCTCCTTTTTGTTCTCCTGATCATCACCGCTCTTCTCGGCGGCTTCCAGTTCTGCTTGTTTCTGTTTCTTCACCTCCTCCTCCTCCTCCTCCTTGTGCTTCTGCTCCTCCACTTGCTGCGCATGCTGCTGCCGCTCTTCCTCCTCCTTGTGATGCTTCTCCTCTGCATCCTTGGCAGCTGGGTCGTTGGCACCCTTTGACCCATCTGTGCCTCCAGCACTGGCCTTGCCATCCTTGGACCCATCCTTGCCAGGATCCTTGCTCTTGGTAGCAAGCTTACCCCCATCTTTGCCGCCACCGCCGTCCTTGCCTGCAGCCTTGCCGTCCTTGCCGAAGGCAGCCTTGGCGTCCTTGCCGAAGCCAGCCTTGCCGTCCTTGCCGAAGCCATCCTTGCCGTCCTTGCCGAAGCCAGCCTTGCCGTCTTTGCCGAAGCCATCTTTGCCGTCCTTGCCTGAGGGCTGGCCATCCTTGCCACCAGAGCTAAAAAAACCACCACCCTTGTTGGCATAGCCGTAGCCCTTGCCCCCGTCCTTGTCCTTGCCATTGCTGCCCTTGCCCTTTCCTTGAGGCGGCTGGCCCGGCATGGGCCCATCAGTGGCTCTCAGCCATATATGGTGGTTACCTGGGCTGATAGCAAATTCCGAAATGATTGTGTCACATCAATGAACTGAAACTACGGAAGATTCGGCAATAGACTTGTAGTCAAGGCACAGAGCTGTTCCATTCTCTCCCGGGTGTATGTCGACAATATTTTGGAGATATCCTGGAAGGTATGGCTCTGGTCGTACTCGAGGTACTGTCCTCAGCATAAGCATTTCTTTCATTGATCTTTGTCCCCATGCAACTCAATCAATCAACCCTCAGTGCAGAACAGACTCTGACCATCTTGTAGACCAACGCATGAGCATCTCCAACGGCCGATGGATGTGATAATAATGAGAGCATGTTCTTAGTGAAGCCCATGTGACACACTCAGCAGCTGCACATGTACACTACTAGGTCAATGTGGGCCGAGCATCGATCCATCCATCAATATCAACGTCCAGACGCATCATGCATGCATAGATGTCTGGTGCCACGGCTCGGACTTTCGCCGATACCTTAGCTCTTGCAGGAACCAAAGTGTGATGGCACAAGCACTCTGATTCGGCTCAACATGTTTGCAGTAAATCCCAGGTGCGACCCATACCGCATCGAGCCACATCTCCTCGGTGAGGCGAGTCCTCGGACCATTTGACTCGCGTGGCCGGTACAACTTCATGTTGGGGTTCTCCGGCGAGAAATACCCCGATGCCATGGCCTCCTCCGACCCCGATGGCCTAGTAGCCTAGCCAAATTGGCTAAAGTCCGTTGTTACTGTTGTCCGGATGGCCCTGGAGTACAAAGGTGATGTTGTCAGGATGGCCCGAAAGACCGGATGGACCTGAAGCTGCTGCCTAATCTGACATCCTAGAATCGGAACCTCCAACCCAACATTGTTGGGTCACATTGCATGCCTTGAACAAGAACAGCAGAATTCGTTCAACCACTGCTCCGGGCACAAGTCAAGCTCCAGCTCTTGCCAACTCAAGTGCATAAAGTCAGCAGCAAAGGCAGTCACACGGGGCGGGTGCAAGGTGCCTCCAATAAGAACCGGAGGGCGGATGTCTGACCTGCATCAGCAGTAGCCACTTAAAGAATCAACGACTGACCTTGAACCTGGATCGGCCTTTGACCTGGATCTTCTCGATGTGCACCGACCTGCCAAATTCAAGCAAAACTGTAAACCAGATCATGATGAGAATCGTCGCCTCTTCGGCCCAACCAGCTGAACACTTCTGACCTGCAGCCCGGAGCCAGTCACAAAATGGCCCACAATCCTTTCACTCCAATCGGCCTCTGACCGGCGAACGTCATGATGTACACACACCTGCAAGAAAGAGCAGCCTACGGTACAAACCAGAACCGAATCGACCGGACCTCCAACCAGCCGAAGATGTCTGACCTGCGGCAGGAGCCATCACAAACTGCAGAACAGCTTAGGGCACAGGGCTGCGGACAGAAACCCCTGCAAAACGGTGGTTTTCGCTCAAAAATGGCAGAATTTGTCCCCCTTTAATAGGGCCACCTTATATTTCTATTAGAAATATGGTAAAACCCTATTAAAGGAGGGCAAAAACTGCCAAAACGAGCCCAGCAACCTCACACATGGACCCAGGTGGACCACCAATCCGTCCGCAGGATTTCGGAGCCCCCCAAATCCCGCTGATGCTCATGATGCTCGCTCGTAGGGTCCCAGAGGGCTGCGGACAGAATCCGTCCGCAGGATTTTGGAGCCCCCCGCACCCCGCTGATGCTCATGATGCTCGCTCGTAGGGTCCCGCAGGGCTGCGGACAGAATCCGTCCGCAGTGTTTAGGGATTGGGGTTTAGGGTTTAAACCACTAACTCTGATAGCTGAACCTGCCTCGGCAGTGGTGTCAAGGCCATGCCAATGGCCAGGATGCCAGGACCTGGCACAATCTAGTCTCAAAAGTTTGCAACCTTTGCAAAAACCATGCATCCATCTGGAATCCTCATTCTCAAATCCGACACTGAAAATTGCTATGCCCTTAATCTCCTAAAATCGGCATGGCCTCTTCATCAGCCCCGTCTGTCGCCGTCGCCATCCATGAAAGCCAGGCCTCAGGCCGGGGGATTGCTTCAATCAGGTTTGGGCCATGTGGTTCGGCTTGCTGAATGTGATTGTGGTTAGAGTGGGTGCTCGAGGAAAAGAGTAATAGAGTTTGGGTTTAGTGTTTCGGAGGCTTAGGCAGTAAGGGCTGTCAATTTGGGGTTCAGTAAGGGTTCAGGGGTGAACCAGCATCGAATTTATTTGTTGATACACTATGTTCTACTACAACACATACAACAGAATGAAAGGGGCTCGCCCCGAAATCCAGAACTTCCCAATGCAACTACATTCACCTGATGCCTCAACTAGCGGGATTCCCTTTTAGTCATCCCCAAACCAGTGAACCAGTCCTTGCGCAGTGACTGGCTCACGGGGGCCCCGAGGCTTGGTCTTGCACAGACCTGAAAACGATCTAGCACAGGATCAAAGGATGCGCAGCAAGCGTCGGTAGGCCAGCAAGTCAAGCCGTTTCAGCATCGAGATTTAGCGACCCAGGGAGTTCCTGCCGGGAACAAGGTCCCACCCCTGTAGGGGCCATGCCGAGCATTCACCACCACTGAGAAGCGCACCCAATGCCTACTTTGGACATGACGTGCCATGTGGCCCACGTCAGCCCACTGGATCCTCGGATCCTGTGGACGGGGTCTTTTTCAGACCTCCGCCTGGGTCTTGCTCAGACCCATTACTTTTTCCGGTCTTGCCCAGACCGGTTGAACACAACCCTAGCCTAGCACAGCTGCTAAGTAACAACCCCCTGGCTATTGTACACTACTCAAGCCTCAAACCTATCTCCAACCCGCAGCTGTGCACTAAACATGCCTATTGACTAATGCCTTAGGGGCTTAAGGGATAAGGATCTAGACTAGTTACACGGACCATTGGTCTTGCGCAGACCAATGGCCCTGGGCGGTCTTTCACAGACCGACGGTCACTGCTCGGACCGTAGTTTGGCCCACCGCGGCCTCGTCTGTCGCCGTCGCCATCCATGATGAAGATGTTGCCGCTCCAGGGGGTTTGCATGGGTTTAGGGTTTAGGGTTTAGTTAGGGTTTAGGGATGGGTATTAATGGGAATAACAGGACAGGATATTAAATTGATGTATTTACACAGATTTAATATTAGGCCCTGAACCAATACCCGGCTCGTATAGGACGTAGGACCCTAGGCTGAGGGGGCTAGCTTTCGATCCCAAGCCCGAGCCCCCGAACCCTCCTCCTACACAATTCTTCAACCACGATTTATCTATGTTTCTATATCAAAGCCGGAGTCTCAGCACCCGGCTCAGCATGCCGATGATGACGAGGTGGTCGAGCGGCAGGGCGGGTGGGCTTTCGGCTGGAATTCTAAGGCCTTTGGGGTTCCAAGTTTAACATATGTCCAGAAGATTTACAACACCTGCCACTGCTACCGACCTGAGCAAAACTAACTACGGGGACGGTCGAAACACAATAGACCCTGAGCCCGAAACTCTGAGCACATATGCTACTTAGACCATACTTAAATCAGTCTGTAAATCGGCCAGCAAAATTAGCCATCAAATGTGATAAACGAAAGTGCTTAAAGCGGGTCTTTTGGCTAACCCTGTCCAAGCTCCGGCCGTCGAGTTGATGCAAAGATTCACATCATCAACTGTCGCAGAATTACGTACAGGTAAAGCAATAACTTCCGCTTTGCAGCTCCAGGCTGGCATAAAGACCAAGAAACTCACCGTGGTCTCCAAGGTGTTCACCGTGGTCGCTGGTGACGGCAATCACTGTATTCCTGTCTATCTTATCATCACGAAGACTTACGTTGAGGCAGTGTTAAAGCTGGGACTATGGTCGACTTGCACTCGGAACAGATTCGATAGTCGGAACGAGATTGGTGACTTGATCTCGCGGCCACTTTCGGTTGTGTCCTTTCGCCTGGTATCCTTCGGCGATGCGACTGGTAATGATAGTCAGAGGCGCTTCCGCCCATGGAGCCGTAGCACCGACTCTGTGGGACTGATGGCACATTATGGCCCATAGCATGCATCCTTGCAGGCGCGGCTCTCTCGGGCGTGATGCTTCTCCAAAAAATTCAGCAGCTGCTGGATCCTGGGTCACAAGCATATATGCCTATGCGATGCACCGCAGGCAGCTTCGATGGCCTGTCGGTTCGGGAAACTGCCTTCCGTGAGTTACACGACAGCTGCTTGGTTGCTGCGGCGACAGGGCAAGATTGCTGTACTGCCTCTAGGGGAAACCTGTTGCCCCACATGGCTGGTCGAGGCGAAGTTGGCCTTGAACTATGAGACAGAGCATAATGCAGCGCATGGCATTGGGCGTAACTGGGAAATCCCTGTGTTGCGCTGGATAGGAAATTTCAGGAGCGGTGCGAGAACCACTGACAGCGCAACACAACACTACCAGCAAGAAGGCAGGCGCCATGGCGACAGATTTGCAGTTGCAGATAACGACACTGGTAGTTGCCGAGTCCATGGCACTGGTTCCGCTATGAACAAAACTGGGCTTCCTTCAATCAACCTTCTTTGAACCCATGCTCTGCAACGTGCTTGAGAATGGAAGGACAACAGCACAGTCGCCTCACAACAACATAATAAAGCTGAGACGGACACAGCGCAACTCGCTTGGGGGCTTGGAGCGAAGCAACAGATGGCCACCGCTGAGCACGTGGTCTACAGAGACAGAGGGGACCCCCAAGCTTTTGTAGAGCGGATTGACGGCAAAGGCATCAACCAGACTCAGCCAATAACACATTCTAACACATTCATACAACATAACACTGCTGAACCTGTGCCAGATCTAAGAGCCTAAGCAACCCCGCGGACAAATGACGTGGCTCCGGCCAGGGTCCATGAACCTGAGAATGCATCCAAACCAGGCATCCAGACGAGTGGCTCTCGGTCAAGCATCCCGAGGAGTCTTGCGTAGCTCTCCCGGGTCTGGCCTCGAGTGGATCCAGGGGTGGACTAAGCGGGATGAAACAGCTGTTGGCCCGGACACACGCCAGTCCAAACCACCGTGCAACTGTTCTGTTCCCTCTTAATCTCAGGCCAGCCGCGAACGTCCACCGAGCTGCGGTAAGGGTTTGGGAACTGTATCATCCGTCCTTGGCAAGCTCGGACTCTCGGGGCACGCTGACATACACTCACCTTTTCTAAAACAAGCCCTGCAAGGCGAGAACAGAAGTGTATCGTATTGTACCACCACACGACCTCATGACTCATGACACCACGACCCCCAGCAAGAACCCCACGGGACGACTTAAGACTTCCGAACCGACCGCTGCAGCAGTGCTGGAATGGCCCTTCCAGCTATGCTCAAAGGAGTCTCCTTCTGTGTTCTGCGCCCAGATGTAGTCGAACTGTGCGTCTACGGCATCTGGCAGCGGCCCCACATCCTTTCGAGACCGGACGAGGTCAGCAATTCACGTGGTCCGATCGGATCGGACATGTCGGCGAGCTGTATAACGTTGAGAGAGGGCTGACTGAGACTGCAGGATGCAATTTGGCCAAGTCACGTCGTGGAGGCTGGTCGCAAATGGCGGGTGAGGACTGGGAAACCCCAGCTGCAGGAACCACGGCTTGTCTCCTTGCGCCGCATTGCAGCTACTTTCGGGGCGTGTCGCACTTTCGGGTTCTTGCTTCTCCACTTTCACGACTCGCTTCTTTGAGTGATGGCTCGGGGTTTCTGCACTGTGCATTTACCAACCTCATCAGCGGGCTCGAAACACACCCATGCCAGTAAATATCTGGCAAGGCGCAGAGCTATACATGCAAGTATTCTGATATGACCAGCAATCCAGACCCAGATATGTCGCCCCGTCCATGTCGCTTCCAGTGCCGTTGCAACAGCACCTGGGCAAAGCAATGGCTCCCTCTGCCAGTTTGACTTAAAGCAACCACCGGCTTACGTCGTCCGAGCTTGCAACGTATTGTATCTCGTGCTCTCCGTAGGCAGAGTTCAGAACGGACAACCCGTGAAGCCTGAACTCTGAATCCTCGAGGCGTTAGAATACGAGGTAGATTCACTGCTTCATTGGCGGGGCCCACTTGATGAAGCTCATGTTTCGGAGCTGGCTTGTGACCCTACATCGTACAACAACGTCCAGACACCTCCGCCTGCAAACGGCTCCAGTGATCAACGCCCAGATCCGGCTCCAGGCAGCCTTCCGGCTTGCACCTGCGAGTCTCGGACTTCAGGCTGCCTTTCGTTGGGGGTCCTACTATATGTATCCGAGTAAGGCAATGGCGGTGGTCCCTCTTCTCTGCTGCTGCCATGAAACCCAAGAAGCAGAGATCACCCTGCTACGGGTTTTTTCGTTAGCTACACGCAAGACCACTGAAATCTATGTTCCTTACGACTGCATGGGGACTTTTCGGCTCGTTGCATTTGTTTATGGCTTGGTCGGCTTGGTTCTGCTGCATACGTACCACGTTGGGGACGGGACCTGTCCTTAGCCGTGGTGCTCTTGATATGGCTTGTCCAAATGTGCCAGATGAAATGCTTGGTCGGTAGGTTGCGGGTCGGCACATTCTCTCTGTCACTGATGGGCTAGCCTGGTTCCGTATTTCTTCCCAATGCTGATCGCCTGCAGTTGTGGTGTCATCAGGGTAAGTCTAGCATGTTCGCACGACGAGGGAGCAGAGGCGGTATCGTCTTTTCTTCCAAACTCATCAACACTCAAAACCGCAACCTTCCTAGTTCCCAACCTTCCAGTTTCAGCCAGCAGTTGTAGTGATGCAAGTCTGCCATTGCAACTGCAACTGTAGCCTTCCGCTGGAAACGACACTTTCACTTTGGACGCATCGCTGCCTGGAGCTTACAGCACGCAGTGTATCAAAGACTAACATCTAAAGCGCGAAAGTAGCCTGAAGCCACACTCGTCCATGAAGATGGTCTCGCACACTGGGGTTGCATTGCAGCAGCCTCCCCTTCCTTGGCGAGGCAGATAAAGCTGCGTTCGGAAACAGCATTCGGTAAGCTGCGGTTGAGGATTCGCTGGCGGGGTTTGGGCCTGAAGCTTTACCGCTCAAGACGAAGTCTTCAAGATGCTCGCAGGTGAAAGAACTTGTAAATTCATCGTTCAGCAAACACCCCAGGGCCCCAGAGTCGCCAAGGTATGCAGACCATGTCCTCGACTCAAGCAAGCCGATACAATTCAAGCGCGAACCTAAAACAGACTTCACAATTTCGTTTGTGCAGCTGAACAGTTGAAGCTATGACCACCGCGAAGCTCAACCCTTCAAGGCAGGATGCCCATGGTCCCCACGGCATCGCAGTAGGCATGGAAGAGATCATTCTCTTTCAGATGAAGGCCGAAGTGATCCATCTCGGCTCGCAGCGAAGCGAAGACTTACGCAGATCTGTTTGCTGCTCCTGGTGCCTCTCTCGGGCGTACGAGCGAACTTGTTACTTCTCTTTGCAGCACCGGCGACTAGACGAGTTTGACGCTGGAGCAACCCTGAGCTTGCTGTATAGGAATGTAAAGGACGCGGGGAGCTCCACGAGCGTAGAATATGAGGTGCTTGAACATCAGCTTTGCAGCACACAACTCTTGGGGAAGGTGGCGGGAAACTTGCAGGGCTCTGTTGCTGTGCCAAGATCCAAGTCACGACTTCACCTTTGGAGGCATTCTTGCAGATTCCATACTTGTCAGCTGATCGCGCGAAGAGATCCACCCCCAACACCTGCACCACTCTTGACTCTCGGTGAGGATTGCCACAGCTTCCATCGCAAGGATTGGCTGTTACCGGCAAAGCTCTGAACCCCGAAGTCCGTTCACAGCAGTGGGAGCCTCCATCTCCGTAGCATTGATCAAGTTGCCACTGTCCCCAGACAGATGGTCCTTCCACGGCTCTTTTCGTCGCTGGTGGTATCTTCTTGCGCACATCCGACGTTGCATCAAAGAGATTCAGCTCTTGCTTCCCTATCCAATCTCAATGCCTTTGAATACGCTCGGGCAAGGCACCTTCAGCTGCGTGGCTTCATGGCGAACTGCGAACCCAGCTCCACAGCCAAGACATCACAGCAAGAATCCAAAAACTCACCCTCAAAGCCTACACTGTGCCACTGCTACGCTTTCGTCGGGCAACATGCATGAGCGCCTAATCAAGCAAACATACAACGACATGACCGGAGAAGAATCAACAGGGAATCAGCAATCAGCTTGCCAATGGTACGAATCAAGCGCATTCCGAATTCAAACCGCAGCTGCCGATCGCATTGCATCAGAATCGACGGTACCGTTTACTTGTGTAAAGCGTTTCCGCTTTTGTCCAGTAGAGTCGGACTCACCCCATAGTCGGAGTAGGACTACAAATCATACTCCAACCACGTGTACACACCGGCGCGTCCTCACACCAAAACTGAACCGACGAGACTTCCGGCAATCCTTCGTGCAGATGAAACTGTCACCGACACCTGCCCCTGAAGCCCCGAATCCCACCTGTGTATGCTCAAAAACGACGGCCCTCCTTGCCAGCAAAGATTGTCGTGTAGCCCGCGTCCCGCAGTCTAGACATGAAGGTAGGAGACATCCTGGGCGTGGACGGCTTCGGGCCTCAAAGGCCTGGTAGAGTGTCATAGAAGCCAAGCCTGGAAAGGAAATCCTGAAGGCAGTGATCTTGCTCTGGCATTCGGGACTGAAGCTCTGCAAGGAACTGTGGCGAGACATAGAGATCCTGGTTCTTCTGCACCCACATGTCCTTCTTGGATCTCGGTGTCTACGCTGCTCAAGGTTGGCTGCTGCACAAGGTTGGGGGGAAGGCTTCAACTTCTAACATGTCCGTTGCTGCCCCCTTCGCCCAAAACTCCCGAACGTTTGACTCTGACAAGTGATGGCAAGGATGGAGTGTTGATGCCTGCGCAGTCCGCTCAAGGAGTCCTTGTATTCCCTGACTGCGGTGAGAGAGCTCCGAGCCGGAACGCACAAAGGTGAGGTCGTGTACGCCCGCGTGAAGCCTCACGGTTCGCTGGCTCTGGGACTTCGCTTGGCCCGGCTTAAAAGTCCCAAAAAGCCGGTTCCCACTACCGTGCTCATGCTCATGAACACCATGCATTCCTGCGTATTCCTGCCCCATGAAGCTCCAGATCCGTTTTTGGCATGGCGCGAGTGCCCACCGAAGCCAAAGACTTCACCGCGGGCATCGAAACTAACGCATCATCGAACCTGCAGTCGGTCTGGCCGGTGAGCGATAGGAGGCTTCAAGGAAATGCTTGCGGCTTCGGATTCGTCGAATTCTGAAGGTCTCCATTCATTATTTATGCTTTCTTGTCTTGGAGGCTTCAGGGGGCTTCAGCATCTCTAGCTGCGCTCTGAGCCCGGAAGATAGGTCAGAGCCCAGAAGATAAGCCAGGGCCTCGATGCTGCAGTACGCAGCACTGCCTAGCCCCAAGTGTGATAGCTTCTAGCTTCTAGCAGCCAGCTGTTGAGCTGAACAGAAACCCCCAAAGTTGCTAGACACTCCCATCACTCTTGCGCGCAAGCGCCCTCGCAAGAGGAGGGCAGGACCGGCACGACACCGCCATGGTGCTGCGGTAAGCTTCTAGCTGTTACCGTTGCATCGACACTGGCCAGCTGACTCTGGCCGCCGGCGAGCTCAGACACGCACTCTCCAAGAGAGACACGCCAGTATCGCACCGACAATTGGCATCATAAGGACGAAACTCGTTTGGCGATGATATCGCAACAAAATCAGGACGACGACGAAGGGGCAAATCAGCAGCTCCCGGTCAACCATGCTATTTGCGAGAGATAGACAAGTCAGTCATACGGTTAGAAGGTGAGGGAGTGACCCTCGCCCCCGCGCTCCAGGCGCCATGAGGTATAGGAAGCACTATAAGTCACTAAGGCTACGAGCACATGCGAAGGCAGAGCCGTCAATGCGGCACTGGCACGGGTAATCCCCGACTAACTTCACACACGCCATGATGACAGGATAGCATGGAAAAACACATCTCTTGCACTGCCACTTCACAAACACATCGCTCGCTAACGAGCATGCATTTGTCGTTGTATCTGCTCGTGGCTATTATCTTGAACCGCGACCCAAACCATCCGGCATCCCAAGCCAAAGCACCCTGCCCAGTCGGCGCGCCACTGGTCCAGAAGGATCAGCAGCAGATTGGGCCTGGGGCAAATAAGTCGGTGATGATATGCAATACTACCCTACCCATGCATGGCCTGCACATGACGCCTCAATACCGGTTCTGAATGGCCATACGAATGGTTTGAGTCGGTCGGTGTGAACGATGGAATCACGTGCCACCGATGGCGGCACTGCCAAACCATCCTGCGAACTCTGCAGGTAAGTTCTACTCTCTCTCTCTCTCTCTCTCTCTCTCTCTCGCAACGCACGCTCAACGATCATCACGAATCCAAAACGTCTCCGATCCAGGGTCATAATCAAGCTGCAAAGTTTGATAATTAAGGTTTGGACTCGATCTGCCTATGCGAAGTCGGGCATGCAAACACAAAGCTGAACCATCGATGCCTGCGATCCGACGACAAATTTCGCGGATGCTGCGGCCGCGTCAGTTGCAGGTTCTGCTGGAGGAGGATCACACGAGAATCTATCTCCTTCAGAGATGCGGTGGCTTGTGCTTCGTCACGTCGCTGGGGGGGGGGGGGGGGGGGGCTTGTGCACGTTTACAATATTATTGGTATCAAGACGGCCGGCCACCTCATGCCTTTGAGCAAGCACAGAATGTTTAGAGCCCCACTACAGAGTCTCCCAAGGCGGTCGCACTGACTTGCGAGCCGGGGTTTTGACCGCATCTTGATGTTCTCGGAATACCAAAGAACTAGGAATAAGAAGAACAGCTGAGAAACAATGATGCAAACAGTTCTGGCGCGACCATGCCAAACACGGTAGTACATAGCGAAGACCGGACAGGATGCCACAATAGCAACACGAGCAGTGACAAAAGTACCGACAGCCGCATCGTCTCCTCTGAGAGAGAGTCGAGGTCTGGCTCGGCGCAGTCGCTCCTCAGCGTTCGTGCACAACCTATACAGTTGCACATTGCTCTTACATCATGTCACCCCGAAAGCACCTCATGCAACTGTCCTGACGGTATAACAGGGGTCCTGCCAAGCGCAAGAAAGATTTCTAGGCCGAAGATCCCCAGTTCTGGCGTCAAAGAGCAGTAGAGCCATTGGCCATCCTTCTGCTAGCTGCTAACAAGACTCGGCGGGGCCTCCACCAGTGCACCGATGGCAAAGGCCAGCAAAACTTGGCGAGACAGCCGGGAAAACACTCGTCGAATCGCACAAGACTTAATGGCTGAGGCGAGCATGATGATCGATACTAGCCACATCTAGCCACTATGTGCACACAGACACCTCTTGCGGACTTGCGACCAGCCGGAAAGGGCGATTCATCTCAAAAGCAGGTGCAGTTTCAAAACCCGTGATGCATCTGTCGCCGGTGAAACTACAGTTTTTTGCGAGTGTCGAAGATCGACAAAGAAGAAGCGGAGGCAGCCCATGGCCATGTAGACTTGGATTCGTGGATGGTCTGGGGTCTGTGAGGTTTGCTGATTTGAAGTGCTGCACGGGGACGGGACCTGCATTGCTGCTGAGTTGTTGGTGATGCTTGGGCCACATTACCTGGGCCATCCAGACAGATCTTTGGCTGAGACCGATTCGCTGAACAGCCGACCCTAGAACCCGAAGTTTCTTTAGTGATTGCCTCTGAGGCAAGTCTGAGCCAATTTGGCTAGGGCTCAAAAGCAGCAGTGGACACACAGACACACACACACACACACACACACACACTCACCCTTTGCTGTACTGCGGGCTCGTTGCCTTGCTCGAGCAAGTCAAAAACAGATGAGACGGCAGCTTTGAAAATAATTGTCCATACAATATCTATCTATCGATCTAATAGACAGATGGGCAAGTACAGTAGATAGGTACAAGATCGCCTGCAAGCGCAGGGATTCCGTCATGTTAAATAGGGACGCCAAGCTTTGGAACTCGTATTCTCCTCCAAGTCCCCACTTGCCGCCGCCCGCCTGCATCAGGACCAAGGTCTCGATTCGTGCTACATTATAAGGCTGACCGACGGCACCCGACGTCTACGAAAATGTGGCACACATGCGTCAAGGGTACCCTACGAACTGATTCTTTCGTCGCAACTCATGCCAGCTGATGCCAGCTGCAGCAGCTGCTCTGCTGCACCTCTTGGATCCCTGGAGAGCTGCCAGTTAAGAGGGCAGAGGCTCGGGCCCGCGCTCGACGCGCGCCGTCACGCCCTCGCCGCCCTCGCCCGACCGAAACAGGAAGATATACAGGCCTGGCTTCGGCAGCTTGGGAGGGCTGAGTGAGTCAGGGTGGCAGGAATTGCGTTGGGGAAGGAGGGAGTCAAGGAGGGAGAGAGCGACGGGGGGAGCCTGAGTCACAAAAAGACAGAGAGCGACATAGGGAGAGCGAAAGAGGGGGAGCCAAAGAGGAGAGAGAGGCAGAGAGCGGGAGAGACGGCGACAGACGGACGCACGGAAGGACGGACGAACGGACGGAGCGACAACAACTATGCGAGCAGAAAATGTCCAATCTGCGAAATGTGCGCAGGCGTATTCAGTATTATGTACGCATATGCATAAGTAATAATAATTGTATGTATATTATACAGACTGACAGGAGGTGAGAGACCCATTAGGCACGTGTCAGTGTACCATAAGAATCCTGGGAATCACGCGTGAAGCTTCCTCTCGCACCTGGGTCTGGGGGGGAAGAGCTGCGGAAGTCGGGTCGGATGGCTGAGGGTGCAAGGCCGACGGCAAGCACCAAAAAACAACACGGAGCACCTCCTGAAAAACCGCTTGGCAGAGATCCGAGCTGTCTGAAACTGAGGCTCGCTGCTCGTAGCTCCTCCCCAACAAAAGCGCCCAAAGCACCTGCCATGTTGATGTATTCCAAATCCGCGCTCTCCACTGCCCCAGAACCGGATCTACTTGCACTGATGTCTTGCAGGTCTGTCCGGCAAAAGGCCATGGCACAAAGCTCCAACTCAGCAGCATCCAAGCTCAGACTTGCGAAAGCCTTGCACCACCCTCGCAAATGCGGTAGCCTGCTTTTTTGGCTGCGGCCCGGCAGCGCCAAAAGCGGTATCTGCCTAACCTCAAGACTTTGAATCGGTTGGTGGTATGTGTAGCGGTGTCAGGGGCTGCTCGTCAGACACCCTCAACTTTCTTTGACATGGCGCCGCCTGATGCCACAGCCTCCAAAGACGTCTCGAATAAGTGCCCGGCAGTGCATCGGGCAGAAGCCCATGGAGAGCCCGGCGAGGCCTCCAAGCCAGCCAAAGCCAAGATGGTTTTGGGGTTCGGGATAATTCTTCGCTCTCAATACATAATCAGGTCACATCACATCATATTTTCTCTTGTTCATGTTGTCGTGTTTGTCCCATAGGTAGCTCCGGCTGCCGGCATTCCAACTACACTCAAACAACGCCCTGGTCCATACCTCGCCCGAGAAGCCGAGGTGCCGTGGGCTGGTCGTCATCCCCGCCGCAAGAAATCAAAGCTTCAATTCATCACTCAACCGTACAGATACTTTCAGACCTCCGTCGTCATTTGATGCATCGGCTCTTCGCTTGTCAGGTCGCGGAGAGGTGTAGGGATTTTGTATGTCAAGTCTGCCTCAGGGCAAAGATATCGCAGTCGCGCCCTGGCCCAGTGCTATATAGCCCCGCAAAGCAAAGGACTTAAGATGTTCTACCCATGCCAGAAACACCTCGCTATACTACCTCGCTAAGTCGCGCGGGCTTTCTTCACATCTGTTGTCAACACTTCCGGGGCGAGGGCAGGTGCGTCTGGCGAAACTTGAGAGGATGCTCCCGCCTCAGTGTGACTCAACATATGCCAGGCTGTGCAGTCAAAACTCATGACCTCACGGTCTTGAATTTGCCAAGCCCTGCAAGTCGATGATCTGAGACCGTGGCAGCACAACTACACTGGGCCTGGCCTGTGTGGCCACCTGGCGAGACGATTCAGCAAGAAGAAGAACCCCCGATTCGTGCGGATCTACAGCTTGAAGCCCGAGGCAACGGCAGGGACTTCACCAGCTGCGATACTCCAGCCCGCTGCACCTGACGTACCGCAGCCCTCAACATGCCCTTAACCATTGCGGTACAAGTACGTTCGGAACGGTCTTTGTTTCGCTCTTTTGCTTGCCCGCTTCCCCTGAGCCTCTCTCCTTCTAAGCCTCTTCCGTCAACGCAGCTCTCTCTCTCTCTCTTGCTTGCACTCGGACAGAAGGGGTCTCCCCCTTCGCGCGCAAGCGCGCACCGGTCTTCACGTTCCCTCTCTCTCTCTCTCTCTGTCTCTCTCTCTCTCTCTACAGGGCTTGGAGGTCGGGCCAGCGTCCAGGGCGTCAACGCAGCTCTCTTTCTCTCTGCGTCTGGAAGGGATTGCAGCAGATCTGGTGCCATCGCTTTGTCTGGGGCCATCACCATGGCCGCCACGACCGCCGTGGCTGTTCTGAAGCAAGAGCTGCCCCGTCCCCGGCCTGCATGGCACGAAAGGCTGGTCCAGAGTCTGATTTGCCACGACGTGCACTCTGAGGTCAGCGACACATGGAAGGACCATCCCGTGTCTGAGGTGAAGGTCAGCGATCCTCGGGAGTCGGGCTGCGATGGCTGCAGGCTCAAAGTGTGAAAACCTCAGCGCCAACGCAGGTGCTGTGTAGCAGCCGGGACCGGATAGACACGGCTCGAAGCTGCGATGCGCTAGCGGCGGCACCCAGCCAGTCAACATGCTCGGAAAACCGCTCGACTTCTGAAATGTGACGAATCGCCAGTCAGAATACGGTACACGTGACTAAGCCCTGTGAAGGCAACTCCAAAGCTGCCGGCTGTAGTAGTGGCGACCGTGCTCCAAAATCTTGTAGACCTGGTCGTGAACCCGATGGAGCACACAACTCAACAAGTGCCGCTGCTGGCAGTGTGTTTGGCTAGTCCGGGTTCCTTGGGGCTCAACTTGACTGCACATGACAGATTCGCCGCAAAATCTTCTGGTAGGCCTCGACGAGAGGCGGAGCTCTCTGCACCCGAAGCTCCAGGAGCTGCATCCTCTGTGGACTTGCTATCATCACAACATTTTCCTAACCGACAGCAGTGGCCCAGGAATGACCCGGAGGCTCCGAAGTGGCCATGGCAGCAGCAACACGCCCCCAAGACTTTCTTTGTGACTGGCAACCCGTGCAACACACGATCAAAGCAGAGACAAGTGTCTCGCAACCCTATCTCCACAGCTCCATCATCTGAAGCTTTCGAGTTCGAAAGCGAAGCCCAAACACAACGCCACGACAACATTCGACTCTTGTGCAGTGGTTTGTCAGCGGTGAACCGTTCGGCTGGCCTTTCTGACCTTTCTTGCGCGGCTGCGGCTGCTGCGAGCCACACCTCGTTTATCTCGTCTGGGACCTCGGCGACTCTGACATGGTTGAGCAGTTGAGCAAGAGTCATTGCAATCGCGATGTGGGGACTTGGCGTCCTCTCCCCAAAACTCAGAGGTCATTTCTTGGAGACGCGATCCTTGAGCTTGCGGCCGTTCCGCGGCTGCGCAGCTCCAACTCTGACAACTGGGGCCTGACGACGCCGCAGGACATGCCCCGCACACATGCAGAACGTCAGTGCAAAGTCACTGTTCATGGCGCTCGCTCCTGCTTCCTTACGGATCGGTGCGAGACCTTCAACCCAAAAGGCCTGAGAATCTCCTGTGGAAAGGGTCGGCTTGGCTGGGCAGTGCTGGTTCAAGCAGAATAGTCAGCTCTTATACAGAACAAAAAAGAACACTGCATCATACTGTATCCATGTGCTTGAAATGCGAGCTCCAAGCAGGATCCAAACTTTCATCTCCAGCAGCCCTTCCACTCAAGCTGTCGGATCTGTCGAAGGTTCGACTCGAAGGTAGTAGGGAGCGGGCACAGCTGCCAGAACTGGTGCCAAGACGGACTGCACCCAGCCTGCCCGATGACGATGATGGGAGTGTACAGGTCCTATCCGTACTATTGGAATGAATACGGGCTACTCAGTGTCCGACTTGCTCGGCAACTATAGACCAAGTAGCCACGTGACACTGCGAAAGTTCCATTTCGAAGCCGAGGCACTTGGCAAAGCACCAGCTGAGCAAACCGGAGCCCAGGCCTCTCTGCAGCACCGGTACGAAAAGCTTTGGACATCAGAAAACCGACATGGATTGGACCGTTGAATCTGGCTAAATTCTGTGGCATGCTGATTGGGGATTCAACGCACAGACGCTGTTGGCAGGAATTGGCTCTGCAAGCGCATGGGGCCTGTCGGACTACATTGAACTGGACGGCAAATCGTGTCTACTGGGGAATCAACGAGCGCGACTAGAGCATGGTGGGACAGCGGAGACGCAGGCTCGAAGATCCTAGGAAAGGCGAGGGGGTGTGGGGCTTTCGGACTCGGGCTTCAGGGTCTGGCGGCGGGACACGACAACACCCGACAGTCCTTGTATATCTGGATAATGCCAGCGCAAGGCCTTAGCAAACCTCAACTGCAAAGCCCCAAGCTTATAAGCAGTATTTCAAGGAAGCATTTCCCAAATATCCCAACACCCCGGCAGGGAAGAACAAGGACCAAAACACCTAAGCTGTCCCCTCGTTTCTTCAAAGCGACTCTCTGCTTCGATACATAGCTAGCCGCTAGGATCTGAACCGAACATCACCTGAAACTCCGGGGGGCGGAAAGTGCCTGTGCGTGTCTGTCTGCTTCTGATCCTCGGTCCTCTGGGGCCCAGCGCTGGAGGCTGAAGCCTGGGAAACATACAGCAAACCTGATGAATATACGACCGTGTCATTTCGAGAGCGACTGTGAGCCAGAGTTGCCCCAGGACTTGTCTGATGCTGAGAGCCGGAACCCTCGTGGCCAACCAGATCTTTCCAAACCTCGCTCCGAAGCGACATCTCAGACTGACACTTCGATGATCACAGGGCCCAAATCCGCTCAGGGCAAGGCGCGATTCGCCGCTGCCTCGCGCTCCACGCAGTGCGCATCGGGGCCTGCAGAATTCAGGAAGCGAAACTCCACTCTGGAGCAGTCGATCTTGACGCTCCCGAGTAGGCGGGAGCCCATACGGGAGTCAAAACTCAGTCACTTGGCTCCGCTTGGCGCCATCGGTTGCCGGGCTTCTGGGTGCTGACCGGATCGCGTGGTTCGATGAAGGAGGAGCTGGCGCTTGTTCCTCTACATTGTCTTAGAGCCGTTCGCCTTTTGGGCTGGCGAGGGGCGCCTACCAGTAGCTGTCTCAGTACTCCAGAGAGACTCGTGGCATCCAGCAGGTTTGTGTTTCAGCACCAGCAGCTCAAACCACTTGGCAGTTCGGTGAGGCTCTGCGATCTCTCTGCTTCCCAAGATGTTCCAAGGGCCCGGCGCCCAAGCGCCTGAGACACACAGGGGGAACGTCTGGACACGTCGGTGGTGCTGGGCTTGGGGCCGTCCATTCCGGCAGGGCCCTGTTGTGTTAAGAGCCTTCTTGATAAACTCACAATACACCTGGAACAGCTTCGCAGTTTCACATATAATTACAAACAGAACAGAAGTGCAGGTTCAGGTGGGCTTTCGGACATTCACCAAAAAATCAGCAATGAATGCCCTGTGTAGCCAACGTTATCCAGCATCACCCGAGCGAGCGACTCTGACCGGGAAGCGTCATGGCGTTATTTTGCTTTATCAGTGCCCCCACTAACTCATTGACTGGTACTCCTGGTCCCCGCTGACACGAAAGGCCTCATGGTAGTCCGGACTGCAAACGGCCTAGGCGTGGGATCGGCTGCTTGCTGCAGGCCCTGATCTTCAACATGCTCATGAAGCGCACGTCTTGTGCTTCTCAGACTCTTTCTTTGTGCCGGCGGCGTAGATGACATCTCTTAACTACTCTGATGATTTTAAGGCTTTAAGCTCGCTGCTTTCGCCAAGTGCCCACAAATGCCACACTTGCGACAGTGTGTCCACCAGGGTAAGTCGACAATTGAATGATGCCAGGATCGCAGCCCGAACGTTCGGAGCACAACGAGCACATACCGATGAGGTTCTTGGGTGAGGCACGCCATGCGTGCGAAAACGGGCACCGGTTTTAGGAACGGATTGCTCCGAAACCGTTTTCGATGCCAGGGGGTTGCAACTTGCAACTGTCACGGCTCATCGAGGCTGGCGAAAAAACGATGATTGTACAGTGTCTGTGGCCTCGCGGTACCTGCACACATGATTGATTGGATATCGATAGAGCATTCACAAATTCCCAAGACAGTGCAGTGAAACGTCAGTCGGAACTCTTCGAGACAAGCAATACAGCTCCTGGATTCTGCAGGCAAGCCCAGTGGCACCTACACCTTTGGACAGCCAACTACACCTCGCTCCTGTCCATTCGATCATAGGATACGGCCCAGGTTGGGAGAAGCTCCAGCCCATCTCGGGTCGCTCCGTACCTTGGACTACATATGCCACTGCCACGATTAACAAGCTTCCACAGCTGTAAACACCTCAATGAGAGCACTATGCCTCACTATGCATGACCGGAGCAATAGTACAGTACACTGGCCACGTATCGTACCGTTTCGATCAGGTTTGCAAAGCCGCTACGAACTGATTGCCCTTGAAGTAAATGGAAGGGTTTCCAGATTGGTGGCGCATGTTGGTGGCGTCGGGGTGAAAAAGGCATGCTCATGACATCTGACATCTGAGCTGCCGTGCTCTAGCTGGCCTCGGCAGCTGTCCAGATCTACATATGCATATGACATAAGTACCTATGTACATATATATATATATGGTACCCCCCCCCATTGACCTACCCTTTTTGGTCTTTTTGAAAGGCAAGGGTGGGTCGGGGCGGGGTGTACCCGAATGGAGCGGCGTTCCCAAAGACCTAGTTTCTTAAAAGACTCAATCTTTCGGAGGTCGAGGGAGACTGTATCCAAAACCAAAAAAATTCAGGCCTCGCAGCACCTTGGAACTCTGGGCGCTGCAAAACACTGAGAGGCCTCAATCTTTTGGAATCCCGAACCTCAGAAAAATTGAGGCCTCTCAGTGTTTTGCAGCTTCCAGATTCCAAAACACTGAGAGGCCTCAATCTTTTTATGATTTTGAAGCCAAAACGCTGGGAGGCCCCAAAAGACTCAAAAGACTCAATCTTTTGGAGGTCTTGGGAAACTATAACCAAAATCAGAAAAATTGAGGCCTCTCAGTGTTTTGCAGCTTCCAGATTCCAAAACACTGAGAGGCCTCAATCTTTTGGAATCCCGAGCCTCAGAAAAATTGAGGCCTCTCAGTGTTTTGCAGCTTCCAGATTCCAAAACATTGAGAGGCCTCAATCTTTTGGAATCCCGAACCTCAGAAAAATTGAGGCCTCTGTGTTTTGCAGCTTCCAGATTCCAAAACACTGAGAGGCCTCAATCTTTTTATGATTTTGAAGCCAAAACGCTGGGAGGCCCCAAAAGACTCAAAAGACTCAATCTTTTGGAAGTCTTGGGAAACTATAACCAAAATCAGAAAAATTGAAGCCTCTCAGTGTTTTGCAGCTTCCAGATTCTTTTGGAATCCCGAACCTCAGAAAAATTGAGGCCTCTCAGTGTTTTGCAGCTTCCAGATTCCAAAACATTGAGAGGCCTCAATCTTTTGGAATACCGAACTTCAGAAAAATTGAGGCCTCTCAGTGTTTTGCAGCTTCCAGATTCCAAAACACTGAGAGGCCTCAATCTTTTGGAATCCCGAACCTCAGAAAAATTGAGGCCTCTCAGTGTTTTGCAGCTTCCAGATTCCAAAACACTGAGAGGCCTCAATCTTTTGGAATCCCGAACCTCAGAAAAATTGAGGCCTCTCAGTGTTTTGCAGCTTCCAGATTCCAAAACACTGAGAGGCCTCAATCTTATTGATTTTAAGGCTAGTTTCCTAAGACCTCCAAAAGATTGAATCTTTTGAGTCTTTTGGGTGCCTCCCAGCGTTTTGGCTTCAAAATCATAAAAAGATTGAGGCCTCTCAGTGTTTTGCAGCTTCCAGATTCCAAAACACTGAGAGGCCTCAATCTTTTGGAATCCCGAACCTCAGAAAAATTGAGGCCTCTCAGTGTTTTGCAGCTTCCAGATTCCAAAACATTGAGAGGCCTCAATCTTTTGGAATCCCGAACCTCAGAAAAATTGAGGCCTCTCAGTGTTTTGCAGCTTCCAAATTCCAAAACATTGAGAGGCCTCAATCTTTTGGAATCCCGAACCTCAGAAAAATTGAGGCCTCTCAATGTTTTGCAGCTTCCAGATTCCAAAACGCTGAGAGGCCTCAATCTTATTGATTTTAAGGCTAGTTTCCTAAGACCTCCAAAAGATTGAGTCTTTTGAATCTTTTGGGGCCTCCCAGCGTTTTGGCTTCAAAATCATAAAAAGATTGAGGCCTCTCAGCATTTTGGAGCTCCCACAGTCCCAAAGTGCTGAGAGGCCTCAATTTTTTTGAGTCTTGAATCTCAAAAAGATTGGGGCCGCTCCAGGTTTTGCAGCTCTCACAGTTCCAAAGTGCTGAGAGGCCTCAATCTTTTGGAGTCTTGAACTTGGGGCCGAGAATATCTGGCCGTATTAGTTTTCTGTTCCTGCTGCCATTTTTTTTTGTTTGTTTGGGGCCCTGGGCCCTGTTACTCTGTTACTCTCATACTCTTATACTCTATGACTCTATTACTCTATTACCCTATGACTCTATTACTCTCTTACTCCAAAAGCTCTATTACTCTATTACTCTAATACTCTATTACTCTACTACTCCACTAACTCTATTTATTACTCTATTACTCTATCTACTTTATTTCCTCTATGACTCTATGACTCTATCACTCTGCTACTACCCCTACCCCTACTCCTACTACTACTACTACTACTACTACTACTACTGCTACTACTACTACTACTACTACTACTATTCGTACTACTAATACTGCTATTGCTACTGTTACTGGTACTGCTTTACTATTACTATGCAGCACTATTACTATTACCATTACTATTACTATTACCATTACCAATGCATAAAGTCATGGAGCAAAGCCTGCGGGTCACGCGCTTCGCGCGCACTGTTTCTTGTACTATTACTCTTTCTTTATTACTCTATTGCTATTGCTCTATTGCTCTATTGCTCTATTGCTTTATTGCTTTGTTACTTTATTACTCTATTAGTCTTTTCGTCTTTTAGTCTGTTTAGTTTGTTTAGTCTATTAGTCTATTAGTCTATTAGTCTATTAGTCTACTATTCGTCTATTCGTCTATTCGTCTATTAGTCTATTAGTCTATTAGTCTACTAGTTTATTCTGTCTATTAGTCTATTCGTCTATTCGTCTATTAGTCTATGATTGTATTACTCTATTACTCTTTACTATTACCAGTACTAGTACTATCTATAACAAACACGCGAAAAAAGCCACAGGTGCAAAAAAATAATGGCGACAAAAATAGGCCCTCCCTTGTCCATGCATCATTGCCACTCATTGCTCCTGAGACCCCCAACAAAGGTAGGTCAATGGGGGGGGGTAGCATATATATATATATATATATATATATATATATATCTACGCGTGTGTGTACGCATATACTTGTACGCATAAACGGAGAATGGCATCTGTGCATGCATGCATTTGGTTGCATGTGAAAATATGTGCAAATGTAGGTATGCATATAGATGTTGTCGGCATGTGTGTATGTAGGATTTGCGAGAGGTTCGCCGTCTCGCAGCAATCTGCGACGTTCCGGGGGCTCGATCCAACAAGCGTCCTCTTCCTCGTTGCTCCTTCGCGCCTCTGAATCTGCCCTCCTGCCTCCGCCTCCCGCTGTGGTTGGATGGCTTTACCAGAGAAGACAAACGCCTTCAGAGTCCCGCTGATTAGCACTGCCCTGCCCATACTCAGCGACATTTCTGTTCCAGCACTTCCCGGGTGCTCTTGATTGGATGTGTGCTCCGAACTAAGTATGTACGTATGCATGCAGGCAGCATGTGTCTGTTGCTTCGGGGCTCTGGAAACGTGCCTTGCGCATAGCCCCCATGCAGCTATGCATCGCACCACCGACTTCGCTTCCGAAAGGTGCTTCACACTTTTCGAACGTGCATTCGTGACTTGATGAGCTTATCGGCTTATCGGGTAGTTCGACGCATCTGTGTTCACTGCTCAGTTCCGGTGCAGCTGCAGATTTCCCTTCCTGCGGCAAAGCTTCAATCGTCACAGCGAGTTCATCATCAACAACCAGAGTTCTAGAAGCACGCGAAGCACCAGCATCAGAGAGGAGAATCAACATGTATGCGTGAGATGCGTGAGGCACAGATGGAAGGGTTTGTATGCTTCTGTACTCGATCCATCTCTGGAACCACCGACAAACGTTCATCCGTGCATCATGTTCTTGATTCCTGATCTAAAGACGCATGCACAAGAAATTGACTGTCATGCACACAATCTAACACTTTCCGCTTGCACACATTGGGACCCGTAGACAGATCGATTGCTTTGAAAGGACATATCTGGAGTTCGCAGAAAATACTGCGGTCCCTTCAACGCTTGATCTAGCATGCTTGGAGCTCTGTCCCGCGACATCTCACGACTGAGGCACCTGCTGGCCGAGGTTCACAGACACCTCGCAAGGCTACGGCGCTGTCCCGCTGCAGCTCAAGTACGCCACGAAGGTGGCAAAGTGTGCCAATCGGCATGTCGCTGGCTTTGGTTGTCTTGCGTGTCTTCACCCCTGACTCAGCAGGCTGCCTCCATGAGCTGCTTCGGAGGCTGCATGCACACATGAAGCTCTGCACATGACCACTGACTTTGGACTCAAAGGTGTCATCAATCCCGCCCAGAATCGCGCTTATGCCCAAGAGCCCCCAAACCACAAGACTGGCCTGGCGGCCCCCAGAACCTCGACGGCCCTCTGCGACCCGCAGCATCCACGCATGGAAAGTCTGCACACCGGTGGAGAATGGCATTTGACAGGCGTGCAAGGTCCGGTGGAGCTCGATTCACACTGCCACAGACAGCGGGACTACGTTTACCTGCAGCTACCCAAGTCTTCCACTTCATCATGTTCTTTGACACTTCGTCGGTTAGCTATGCTTCGAAAAATCTGGAGGTCGAAACTTCAGAGCTGAAGGTGTAGTTGTGAGGAACGTAGCAGCTAGCAGGTCCAGACGTCAGCCTTGAGAACTTACGTCCGAAACATTTTGAACGTTGAAGTATCCCATCTTATGAGGTTCTCGGGACTAGCAGCAACCTCAGACTTTTTGCGCCACGCTGACACCCGAAAGGCCAGTTGCAAAGTTCAAGTTTTATCCCACACGCACTTCAGGCCCAAGCATGACTTGTGATGTTTACCCCTGGGCTGTCGGGTTTGCACACCCTGTGGAGGTGTCCTTCAAGCTTATTCAACAGAAACTGAACTGGAATCTGCACTTTGCCTCTCCCGGCTGCACATCTGACGAACTCTCAGCTGGCCTGAAAAGACTGGGTGATAACAGAAGTGAACTGGGTGCTGACACTTCGCAACTACGATAACAGTAAGCATTCGAGCGAGAGCAACACGTATGACGTCCAAAAGCGTGTGACACGGATGACAAGCTGGCGCAGAATTACACACTCACTTGCTACAGCCTGTGCTAGTCGATCAGTGCCTCTACCTGTACAGAGAGTTATCCTGGTTGTTGTTGGCAATGCCACTCAACTGCGAGGCTGGTGGTCCTAGATGCAGTTCATGCCAGCCGTGTTGATAGAAGGTGCCAGGCTTCGTGCTTTGTCAGATTCAGTCTTGCGGGGGCTATGCCTGCGCACGTTTTTACACAGCTTGATTGGAGCTCGCCCGGCCAGGTTCACTTCGGGTGTTCTGAAAAATTGATGAGAGTCCCTCGCGCGTGTTTCCGAATCTTGTGGTGTCAACCAGAAGATGTATGTTGTTCTCCACACCTCAAGCAGGGAATCAGATCGAAGGGTCTGTTCCGGCGAGCTCGTCTGCCCTCTTGTCCGGGCTGCGCACGCATCCTTCGTCGGCACGAAATCGCCGGGCTGCCGCGGTAGCTCCTCAGGCTGCTGTTACGGGCTGCTGAGCAGCACTGGGCAGTGTAGTTAGGCAGTGTCACCTTGAAGTCTGACCATCGCCCGACAACTGCTCCGCAAAGGCAAACTTTCAGAAATGTTTCCAACCCGGCTGAGGCTGAATGGTGTAGAACAGCTCTTGTGCCAGCGCGCCAATCGGCATGCCCCGGCGAGCGAATCGGAGATTCGTGATGGACAGTCTTCTGGTGACACAGGGCCAGCCAGTGGATACCCACAACTCGAGCATTTCGGAAATAAGTCCGCGGCCGACCACTGCTCGGAAGGAAGCAATCCCTGAAGGCACACGTGCCATGCAGAGCCAGCTTTCGATGCCTGACTGCCTAAGCTGCGCCGATCGACACCAGTACCCTCGCGTACGGCCTCCTTGCTCTGCGCATTGTTGGTGACTGCCTGCAGGCCAGCACCGATGGTACTAGCTTGGTACCAGGTTGGAAAACTCCATTATTTCTGGATAGTGCCATTGTTGCCATTTCGGAGTGCGCAGAATATACAAACTTTCATGGATTTGCTCCATTTATCAAACAGAAGTACACATCATGCAATGTGTATATGTGTGCATATGTGTGAATACATGCATGAGCATATACATATTTACATGAGGCAGTTTCATTGCCGAGCATGGGGTGGTTGACAAACGCGACTGGTGCCTTCTCCACAGCTCGAAGCACCTGGCTGGACCTCTCTGTGCTCTCCTGAGAAAGAGCAAGGATAGCATCAAACGACGGCTGCCGGAGATGGTGATTGGACTGGCTTGGAAAAGCACTCAGAGAATACGGCGAAAGTAGGCAAGAACTCCAATTCTCGCGCCATGTCGCGCTAAGTACTTAGCCTTGTGCTTCTAGATTAGACAACCTGTTGCTGTAGAAGCTGTCGACATCCTAACAACAACATCGACAGCAAGAGCGGGACGAATGAGAAGGGAAAGAAAAAACAAGAACACAAGCTGCCAGAAGAAGAGTAAGAAGAGTAATACCAACACCAACACCAGGAAGAAAACTAATAGCAATAACAGCAGCAGCAGCAACAACAACAACAACAAGAAAAAAAAAACATGAATAATGATGAGAGCCAGACTAGCAATAATAACAAGAACCACAGCAGCAACAACAACAACAATCATCAGAACAAAAACAACCATCAACAATAGTAATAATGACAAGAACGATATCAACGACGACGACAACGACTACGACTACGATAACGGCAGCCGCAGCAACATTGCGAGTATTTCCGGAAGTATTCCGTTCCTGCAGAGGTTTGCACACCTTGCCACTGAGTGTGCGGCCCGCAGCCACGCTGCTAAGCCTTGGAGTGCTGAATAGTATCGGGTGAATCTGCTAGCAGTAGCAAAGGCCCTCACAATGCAGCACCATCACCTCAATAACAGTCACAAAACGAAGCCCAGCACCCCGGCAAAGATTGAGAAGGCCGAGCAGTACTGAACGATGTGTTGCAAGTTGTGGCCTCCCCACATCACCCGTGTGTCTCAACCGTCTGTCGCTGAAGCTCCCGGCGGCTGCGCCATGCTTCGAAGGCATCGTAGAGTTCAACCTGCCCGGTTGGAACCCTTACTTGGAGAGGCCTGAGACACCAGCCACATTCTGGCATTGTCAGCATCTCGGAGAGGAGCATGTCGACCGTCACTTGTTATATGATATCAGCACAAATCGGAACACTGCAAACACCTAGGCAACATGTGCGAACTTGTAAAATCCCAACGATGAACATGGCGCCGCGATGCCAAGGACATCTTCGAACATCGATTTCGCACCGCTCTACGTCTGGCCGTCGCCCTCTGGCTGTGAAATTCCGACTTGGTCATCAAAGGGTTCCAACACATCTTGAAGCCCTGCCATCTTTCCCTGGACCTGCCACTGCCTTCACTGTAGATAGTGTCTTGTTCCCTTGCTCAATAGTGTCCTGAAGAGACTTGGCTGTCTGCTTCTGGGAACCTTTTCCGGCCTCACCGACTCCCAGGCTAGATGTCGCCGATGCCTGTCCTGCCCACAACTCGCCGGCATTCCGTGGCTGGGTCCGGTGGGAAAACCGGAACTTGACTTGCTCAAAAACTCGAGTGTCCAGAGCCTTCCGCACTAAATCAAGAGCCGTCATGCAAGGCTCGACCGTCCATTCCTTAAACCTTGGTCCTGATGCGCTATCCAGGCCAAGATCTTCCAGCCAGCGGTGGTTGATGTTCAGGAAGGCCTGGCTGGGAAGAAGCGACTCGGCTGCTTGGACGAGCGCTTGAACATGTCCGACAAAGATCAGCTCCCCCAAAAGCAGTTAGGTGGGCAAGACGGACCGATTTGACAGAAGAGCGGCCTCAATCCGATTGAAAGAACTCCTTGCCATGTGATGAGTCATGTCTTTACATGGTTCTTTTGCAAGCGGCGCCTGCGCTGAAAGGAGGATGATGGCATCGCGCGCAGCGAGCTGATCCGGAGGAACCTCGCCGAGTTGGCGGGATTAAGAAATTAACAGCCCCAGGTCAGTCTTTTTTCTGTCGGTCGTCAGTCACCTGCATGTCCTCCAACCCGATAAGCGTCGAGTTGGGGGTGCGACAGCGATCTCGACCGCTGTGCAAACACAACATGCAATGCTGAGAGTCTCTCATGCTTCAGTCCTCCAACGCCTTTCCTTGCCCGGCTGAGCTCCATGCATTCTTGAAGATCAAAGCAAGATGCGCATGAACCCGGCAAGCAGCTGGAAGCAGGGTATCTGCCCTGACAAGCTGCGCTGGAAAATGGCGATGTGCATTTGCAAGACGGGCAAACTGCACAGTTACAATGTTGTTAAGGACTCGAGCGACTCAAATGCCGATTGCTTTTGAGCGATCCGGGAGCCTTTGACCTTGCTTCCTTGCATCGATGTAATAAAATGCAGCAGCTGCAATCAAGAAACCATGCAACCGTACGACTAACCAAGCCAATACGCTGCCCCCTGCCTCTTGCAGGCATATCGCAACCAATCGCTGAGCATCCTCAAGACCTTTGCTACGGCTTGGCAGCAGGATCTCGGCTCGGCTGTGGGGAAATTCGGGGCACCAAATTCGGGAACTGAGTCGCGCAATCCCAGCCCCAGACTTCAAATATCTTCAAATAATTCGGGAACTCCAGAATTCAGGAATCCGATTCGCGCACCGTGTGCGGAAATTTGGGGCCAGCGAGCAGACAATTCCGGAACCGAGGCGCGACACATCGGGCATCGCAGGATGCATGCGTGCTGTGTGCGGATCTGACTGACTTGTGCATTGCTCCCAAGCCTTTGCTAAGTCAGATATGCCGGACGGCGCTGCGCATCAACTTAGGTGTAAATCCTGCAAAACCTCCTAAACCTTCAAAAAGCCTACGCCAAAGCCGGAAGACCATGAAACCTAAAGAACCCCAAGCCAAGCCGAGCATGAAAAATCCTAAACCCTAAACCTTGAAAAAACCCTCAACCCTGAACCTTGTGGACTCCTGAGCACACCCTAGGCCCCCGGAGAACCCTGAACCCTGAACCTCGAAAAGGCGAAGCCGATTTGAAACCCTAAACGCGCACGAAACCATGAATCTCTAAGAGAACCCTAAGTTCTTAACCCTGTGACACCATACGCTCTAAACCCTGGAAGCCTTATCCCATGAAGAAACCCAAGCCCTGAACCTGGTCAGAAACCCCTGAGACCTCAACCGCAAACCCTTCAAAGCCCGAAACCCTGAAGCTAATAAAACCTTAAACCCTAAAACACTTCAAACCCTAAAGCTTGAAGAACCCCGAACACTGAACCGCACAGCCTGTGAACCGTCAACCCTTAACTTAAAGCACTCTCAACCCTAAGGACTAGGTAACTAGTTCCTGAATGGTACTAGCTCGGTTCTGGAATTGGCCGGCCTGGTTCCTGAGTTCTGGTTCCTGATTTTTTTTCCATGCCGGACTTGCTGGCTTGGTTCCAGAATGCGTCTACGCTCATCTCGGAAATGACTTGGCCAAGTTGCGCCCGTTATGCTAGACAGTTGCTTATGGCATTACCCAGGCAAGCTCGCAACACTTGATGGCTGGAATGCGCTTGCAGTGTGACGTGGCTCTGATCCTGACCCGTCTTCGTGTGACTCTCCTCTGTGACTCTGTGAGGCTGGCATCCCCTTGCAGTTCGTGTCGCAGCTGCACGTGCGCAGCCTGCAGCGGCTGTCACCGGGATGCCCGTTTTTGCGCAGTCAGCAGCACGAGCAGGATATTGCCAGTAGCTGTCGCCAGAAAATTACCCTGAATCGAACTGAGCACTTCTTCCCGAACCTCGAGCGTGTTGAGCAGCTCTGCGTCCTTGAGTGAACTCGAAACCTATCTTCGAGCGGATCACACACTGATCGAGTATTTTGGCGTGGTACCCGCTTGACAGTCTGAAGCTCGGGTTACTACACAGCAAGCCTCTTGGAAAAAAGTCCCGAACCCCCAAATTCAGCACTTCCTGGAAACCGAAAGACCCGACGTCCTTGGGCCCTGCCAAGCTTCGCCTGGGGTTGAGACACTGCAGACAGATCGACTGTCAGATGAGGGATTGCTTGACCTCTGACCGGTCAAATCATTCATTGCGACACCTCGGCACTATTGATAGTTTGTTGGTGCGTTTTGCACTTGAACGGCCGGGGTCCTGGCACGGAAGCCTCGTAGCTTGCACCGGAGCGCTCGAGATATGCACCTCGTCGGCCTCAATGATCACTCAAGTTGACCCATTTTTGTTGTCGCGCAGAAGTGGCGAAGTCTTCCACCAAAACCCCGTGCTCCACCGGCATAGAAATGACGATTTTTCCTGCCACAAGATGAGGCGGTGGCCGTGCATGATCACGAACGCAAGGTACGACTCGACTCGGACGGCCAGCCGGACGATGTACAGGATCAGGCCTTTCACGCATCCGGACAGATCGCTTCGCAAGCACGGGCCCGTTTTTCCGAAGTCTAACGAAGCAGCTCGAACGCTTGACTCGTGATGGGAACCCTCCTGGACATAGCGTTACAAAAAGTTGTCCCTCAGCAATCTTCGGGGGTGTTGCAAGGGATTCTGTCAGCTGTTGGGCTGATTTCTCAGGCTTGGGATGGCTTCCACATTCCCACCAGAGAAAGGAATCCATGGACCCAGTGTTAGCAGGAGAAGTAATAACGCAATGCTGCGCAGGCCGGATTTCGAAGGGCATGCACAAATTCAAACTGCTCTTGGACTGCATCCTGCATCCACCTCACACAGCATCGTGGGCCTTCGTTGGCAGAATCGGGGCGGCCCACGTCCTTCTCCACTGCCACCCGGAGCCTGCGTACTCAGGACGACTTTGGATCAGATGTCCTTGGATGTTGTGTGGGTCCTGCCAAAGTAGCCACAGACCAGGCTTGATCAGAGTAGTGGGTGGCAATTTCACAAACCCTCCTGAATCGGCTTTTCGCTTCGAAGACTGGTTCGGCGTACTACTTTTTCCCATACTATGCTGATTTCCTGTTTGCTTATTAAATCCCAAACTCCGGGCCACAACGAAGACAGCGGCTGAGGCCAGGTCAAGCACAGGACTGCCTCCAGCAGTGGCTTCGGAGACCTCAAGTCGACGAAGAGTCCGAGGCTCGCGGACTTTGCCGCAAGCGATGCAGCTCATGCAAGCCTAGTCACCCCAATCGGCTCAGCAGCATGGTATCACATGACATGTGTGGGGTCCGACCCACGGGCCTCATTAGCTCATTGAAGAAAAGCCCGGTAGGTGTCGCCAAGTGCCTTGGACATAGTCAGAAATGGTCATGAAACTGTTGCTGTTCCTCCACATAGCCAAAGAGAACTTAACCATCGACACCTGTCCAGTCTCTGTGCCCTCTTGAGCCGCTTGCCGGCGATCACTGGCAGGCACCTGTTGGACTGCCCACTGTCATCTCACATTTGCAAAAAAGTTAAAGGGCACCGCTGTTTGAGAAGTTGCATGGATATGCTGGGTCCTTCGAGCTTCGGATTGTAAGCATGCCCCTTTGCGGAAGTACTGATGTAGAAGCCCTGGATGTTCCACAGCCATTCTTCTTGTCAGTATGCCAGAGGTGCACACATCAGCTTCGAACGTCTGGGATCGGCTTCACTTCGAGACTTCGCCGGGCTTCTGCACTGTCCAAAAATGCTTTCTCCGAAGCATGTCTTAGGAATGCCGAGGAGGTGTCCCCTCCGTCCTCCATCGTCCTCCGTCTCCCGAATCGCCGAAGAGGAAGCCCCTAAAAGCGACATGACTTTGGCCCTTCGCCTCGCTTAGGCAACAAGGCATGCGCAAAGCAGAAACATCAAACGGCGCTCACTGCGTCAACTGCCCTCAATTCTAAAGAAACCTTTGCGTTTGCAGGCCTTTTCTGGAATCTCCGCTGCGCTGCACAGCCAGGGCCCTGGCCTCAGATAAAAGCTTGGAGCATGGAATTTGGGAAATTGCGCAGTGGAGATCGTGAGGGGCTATCTGATCAGTCTAATCCTTATCCATCATCAATCCAGTCGGACCTTGGGACCGAAACCCAGGCTACAGTTGGCTGATATTCTGCCGAACTTTCCCTTTTCACGTGCATGGTATCTCCCGTATCCCTTGCAGTTATTTGTCCCAACCGAGCAAATGTTTCCCCGGAGCTGACCACACCTTCCATATTTTACCACTTCCCCAGCTTTCCAAACCTCATTTTTGCAGCTTCAACCAGCCAGCCCCAAGTATCCAAAGCTTCAGCATCCCACTTTGCAAGAGCATGCCAACAGCCCTGACCGACCAAAATCGCGCCATTTCACCAGCAAAAACCCAATAGATTTTGCCATCGTCTTCACCTGCACCACTCCACAGCTTTTTCCGTCAAAGCCCGCTGGCCTGGGGGGGGGTCGCAAGCATCAGGCTGGAGGCGGAGGGGGAATCGACGAACCAAGAACCGGCGAGTCAGAGATACGCGGCCCCCTAGACCTGAAACGAAGAACAACCTCCAGGCCTTGAAGCTGGCATCGGATCGCATACTCTAGGCGACGCCGGGACTCGGCATTGAAAAACTAAGGGGTTGAGATCTTGGGCTGTCAGCCCAGCTTTAAACCGCAACCCTACGGATATTCAAGCCTACATGCCAAAACGGGAACGAAAGAACCAAAAGCTGATCATGAACAATACCGTCTGGTGCGATAAAGGCTGCTTTCGGCTGAAGACCTGTCTGACTGCTTGTAAACCGGCAATGCAAAGCCACTCCGTGATTGCATGTCAACGTACACGCTGAATGTCACAGGCAGAACTACACATGCCGCGGACTGGCCCCCAATACCAGACGCGCTCTGTTTCTGAGTTTCCAGATCCAAGAAACACGCTCACAGTTGAATGCACGTGAACCTCAAGAAACGTGCGCAGAGGCACTTTACACCTGAGATTTGTCCCTTAGTGATATAGTGTACAACAGGCAAGGACCAAAACGGACCCAGCTAACTGATAGAGCATCCCGCAGCAGAAGGCTCCATGTGCTCTGTGAGGCCCGCGCTCGAAGAGAGCTGCATCAAGAACAACCTGCATTGTTGGCATA